AGCAGGAGTGTAGGGTGCACATCAATGGCAAGGTTGTAGCTCTGGCTACTACATGAAAGTCCCTCTACATACTTGAAGCAAGCATCATATCTGGCAGTCATTCTGCATACATTGTCAGTATGCCTGATGCATGGAACCCAAATGAACCTTTCACCACTCTCACCTCATGCACAATGATGTCTAAGGCTACACTTACCACCTGGCATCATCAACTTGGACATGCAAACATCAGAAACATCATAAGACTATCTGAGAGTGGCATGGTGTCTGGGATGGAGCTGACAGGACTGAAGGAGCACAACATGACTTCATGCAAGGACTGCCATGATGGAAAACAACATTGGGAACCTATTCCATCAAAGTCAGCTGTAGAAAGCCCAAGTGTACTGTACAGAACTTACACAGATATGTGCAGACCTATGGAGACTGCAGGACAATCTGGCCATTGGTACTTCATAACATTCATTGATGGACACTCACATCACCTGGTGGTTAAATTAATCAAGACAAAGGACAAAGTCTTTGGACTAACCAAGGAATATTTTGCTAGAGCTGAAGTGGAGACTGGACATCACCCTAACTATCTTCAAAGCAATGGTGGTGGAGAATATAGCTCAAACATATTTAAAGCCTATCTGAAGTCAAAAGGCATACATCATGAGAAGACAAATGCCTACACACCACAGGAAAATGGCATAGCAGAACAGATGAACCAAACACTCATTGAGTCCATGCAAGCTATGCTCAGTGATGCCAGTCTACCCAACAAATATTGGGGGATGCCATACTGCACACAGCACACATAATAAATAGACTACTGACTAAAGTGCTCAAGCAAAGCATTACCCCCTATGAGGCATACACTGGAAACAAGCTGTCAGTTGCTCATCTTTGAATTTTTGGATGCACAGCACATGTCCACATTCTGGAAGAGAAGCATCAAAAGCTAGATGTTAAGTCCCTTGAGTGCACACTCTTGGGATACTCAGAGAATAAAAAGGTGTACCTGTGCACACATCAGTCAACTGGGCAAATTGTCAAAACACATGATGCCATCTTTGATGAAGGGGACAGTGTAGACATGTCTTGAGTCCAGATAGACATGGTAACTAGGGAAACAAGGCATATAACACCTGCAGCTCATGCACAAGGGATGCAAGGGGAGATTGACCTACCAGAGAGCAAAACAACCTCAGATGAACCTGGAAATGAATCAGATGGTGGTGATGGTGAAGGACACACCTGGGGCAGTCAAAACGATGAGACAGCAGCTGATGATGGCTCACAGGTCCCTGACAATCACAGCTGCTTGATGTTCAAGCCTAAAACTGATATTAAAACAGAGAAAAGCATTAGTGGGTCAAACCATGAGCAGAATGATGAAGTATGGACTTCAGAACATTGACACCAAGCGCCATCTGTGGCTGCCCATCGCTCTGGCTTGATGCCTGGGCCTCCTGGTCCTTATCCAATCCCTATCCCCCCTCTGGGACTTCAAAGGTCATCCCAAGCCAGAAAAATGCCTATTCAAGACAACAATCAATGCTATTTCATCAATGCATATCAAAAACATAGCTTACTGTCTGTGGAGGATGCAGGGGCAGAGGGTGAGGGTGCTGAGACAGAGGCAAGCATGTGAGAAGGTGTGGCAATGGTGAGGCAGAGTGGTGATGACCCAGAAAGGGAAGAAGTTACCACATACCAAACAAGCACAATCTGTGACAACAAGCCTACAATGTTCACAGAGGCAATGTGTCACACTGATGCTGACCACTGGTGTGCAGTGATGGCTGATGAATTTGCAACATTTTGCACTATAGGATTGTACAAGGAGGTACCATGCCCACCTGACAGGAAGATTATAGATTCAAAGTGGGTCTACAAGATAAAGAAAGGCCCTACAGGCAACATTGATAAGTACAAAGCCTAACTGGTTGCAAAGGCATTCACACAGGTCCATGGAATTGATTATATGGAGACATTCACACTCACAGCTAAGTTTTCTACCATCAGAACCCTACTCACCCTCACTGCTAAGTATGATCTGGAGATCCACCAGATGGATGTAAAGTCTGCCTTTCTCAATGGCAAACTCAATGAGGAAATATACCTCCATCCTCCCCCTGGCTTCTGAGACTTGAGCAGCATCATTTGGCACCTCTATCATGTGCTCTACAGACCGAAACAGGCTCTGAAAGCTTGGTACAATCAACTACAAGAAGTCTCTCTCAGATTCACATGCAGTGATGCTGACCACAGTCTTTTCTACAAAGATGAAAATGGCATTTTAATTATAGTTGCTGTCTATGTCAACAACAAACTGATCCTCTCGAAGAGCTGTGAGGCCATTGATTTCCTCAAAGTCCAATTATCAGCCAAGTACAACCTCTCTGACTTAGGTGAGGCTCAGTGGATCCTCAGTATGGAGATTATATGAGATCATGACAAGGGAACCATAGAATTGTCTCAGTGTTGCTATATAGAGCTCATTCTCGAGCGTATGGGCATGCAGGATGGCTGTGCAGTGTCCACACCCATTGAGCAGAACTTAAAATTAGAGAAACTTGATGCTCCTGCCTATGACCTACATGTGTATCAAAGTGCTCTTGGAGCATTGATGTACACTATGCTGGCTACCCAGCCAGATCTCACATTTGCTGTGGGTGTGCTTGGCAGGCATGTGGCTACCCCTGGTGACCAACATTGGACCACACTCAAATGAGTTTACAGATACCTCTGAAAAACTGTTGATGTGCATTTACAGTACACAAGAGACTCTGTGAGCTCTCTTGTAGGCTACACTGATGCTGACTGGGCTGCAGATGTAAATGACCACCATTCTGTAACTGGCTATGTCTTTACTCTGTCGAGTGGAGCAGGTAGCTGGTCATCCAAGAAACAGACCTCCATTGCTTTGTCTAGCACAGAAGCTGAGTACATGGCAGTCTCAGCAGCTGCAAAAGAGATACTTTGGCTACAAATGCTACTACATGAACTAGATATGGGTATGGTCACAAAGCCCACTTCTCTCCTAGTCAACAATTGGTCCACAATAGCCCTGACAAGCAATGCAATGTTCCATGACTGCATGAAGCACATAGCTATTCATCACCATTTTATCCATGAGAAGGTTGAAGATGGAGAAATGGATGTCAAGTACATTTCTATGAACAAGCAGATCACTGATGTTCTCACCAAGGGACTGTCATGTGAGAAGCATGAACACTTTTCTCTTGGTATGGGAATTATTTTCTAAAGACTTGCTACACTGAGGGGGTGTGTTGGAACATGTGTCCCCTATGTTTATTTGCTTACAGCATACAAGCTTACATAACAATTCTTCGCACTTAGACAGTTAGTTTTTCCTCATGCACCTCAGTCTTCTTACCACAGAAACCTGAGACCTTCTTTATAGTCTTAATTTTGGCCTCCTCTTAAGATGTGGGTCATCCCCTGTCACCATCTCATACAGATCTTGGAGCCAAAGTACAGTGGTGATCTTCTTTTTCCATGCTGCCCAGTTATTAGAGGTGAGCTTCTCTATCTTGACTATCTCTATCTCTCCCCCTTGTCCTCTCTCTCTAGACCTGGCTCACCCTTTCCCCTTTGACAATGCTGTCACCAATGTCAAGGACCCATCAATGACTGGGCTCAACCTTGCCAGTTGTGATGAGGGCCCTGCAACTGTGGGCAAACCTATAGGTGAGTTCAATGTTACCTGTGGTGTCCTTGGGGCACCAGCTGATGCTGTTGGTGCTGTGGGTGAAGACCATGTTGGCTTGTTGGTCTGTGCATTAGGGGGTTCTTCCCCCTCAGGCATTGTGCCTCATGAATTGGCTGGTGCCCTTGCTCTCAACATCTCTCTTCTCCCCCTTCTGACAGATAAGCAGGTGGATCTTCTTGGTGCTATGTTGGTGGCTTGGTGATGAGGTCAGTTATGAGCAGTTGGGGCTCATAACCTGATGGAGATGATGTGTGCACAGAGGCTGACATGGTAACCACCAGATACATATGTGTGTATGGATGGTAGGCTTAAAACTCAGTGTGCTCAGGCAGGAATGTGGGTTGATGAGGTGACATTCTTGTCTCATGAGGATTCTTTCCCCTGTGGCAGCTACCTTATATCCACATCATGCATTTGATATCTCATCTGTTGGGGCATGTCCACCCCCACTCCTGCCTTTGTATTTTCACTTTACTTATCCCCTTCTTGGGGTTATGACATATATCCTGCACCCACTGTGCATCATTGTTTCCTTCTTTGGGTGTGACAGCAGATTGGTACTCCTACACTATTTCACTTTCCCAGTATTCCCCCCTGCAGGTATGGACCTGGGGATGTTTTAAGGGCTTCTTCTGAGTATTCCAGACCTTTCTAGATAGTTACATTGGCAATACATACCCTGGAACTTGACAAAACTCCTAAATACCAGAAGGAGGAGATTATGACATAACACCTCAAGGAGTCCACTTGATGTAATGAGGAATTGGTATGTTATAGGTACAGAGGCCCCCTCCAAGGGGGTGCCTTTTTTGAGTGCCCATGTCAGGTGTATCAGAAATGCAGACACTTCTTTGTTTAAGCCTGACATCCTTTCCAGCTATTGTGGGACCCTTGGATACTTGATAGCAGGTCTAATTATGTGCCAATATACTCAGTGGAACTACTATACCATGTACAATTACAATCTTAGCACCAGAATGCCTAGGAATTTTCCAGCTGAGATTGTGTCACTGTACCTGAAGTACCCCATAACAGCTTATGAGTTTTGAATATGTTGCAGGCACACATGGCACCTTGAAGAGGACACAGTGGCCACACCACACAACGAAACAAAACACATCTTTTGCGGTTCATTCTGAGCAGAACCCGGTGCCCCACCAGCAAAAAAAGAGTGCAAGTCCTTACCAGCTTGTTTCATCGTGCTCCACTTGGGCGGCATCGCTGTGGCCGTGAGCAAGTAGCGGAAATATCACTGTCACGTCATGTCACACCGTGTATGTCACGCTGTCACATCGCGTCCTCTCCTTTATGAGAGTCCTGACATTGGCAGAGGCGGCAACGCCGACACCGGCGACTGCGACGAACACGGCAACGACGGGGATGACCGGCACGACAAAGACAGCCCGGGCCGATTGTTTCCCGACAGTGACCCTGGACACGGAGAGGGTCACTCACGACCTCGCTGCAAGACTCGCAACAACTTTCCTTGCCCACGTCCTCTTCCTCAAAAATCAAATACCCTTGTCAGTTCCATTCAAACCTACTGACAAACAGGGCTCATATCTAGTTACAGCCCTCTCGCTCAACTGGTACGCATGCCAGACAAAGACGTGAGTTCCCCCTCGTTCAGCTTCACCTAAAGTTAAGTGGCAAGCACACCACACGCACAGACGCGTTCTCGAGCTGCGACAAGACGACAGCAACTCCTTAATTTATTCGACACCTTCACCTCGCATCTGTACACCACATTCGTCGCCTTGTCGACATCTCTTGCCCTTCGACGCAAAGCATGTCATGTAGATACAGCCGAGATAGCAAGAAAAACAGATGTCGATAAAGTATTCCTAACCATCGTATTAGGTCCCACGATTGGCACTCCAACATCTTGCCTGATTATGGGGGTTAAGAGACGACGTCGCCCGCCCCCCTACGTCAGCAAAGACAGTCTAGTGCTCTCACATGGAGCACGACGACGAGTCAGAGGCATCCGACAACCATGAGTCGGAAGGAGAAAAATGTAGAGACAGACCACTCTACCGAATCTCCGTACGAGGCTGACGAGGAAAGTACAGAGGACCAACCCTCTTCGGAAGATGGAGACGAAGACAGCGCAAGTGAAGAACAACCACCACCCCCACCACTAGTGCCACCCCTAGAACATGCGACTCTCCCCCGATGCCATGAAGAGCCCGACGATACCCTCCTCCGTACAGCCGAACGTCTCCTCTCGTTCACCCTTGCGAGGGCATGCGCAGAGGATGTCCAAGGTCAAGGCATTGCTGCTAAACTGCGTATAGGCTAGGAGGGACAGTTGTGCAGCATGTATGCCACGGAAGACAAGTGTGACGCCTACAATCTTGACGATCAAGAAGAGCTACTAAATAATAGAACTAGCCCTCAAGGTAAATACTTGAAATGTCTGCGAAGTTACAGGTAGTGATTCTGAAGCTTATGCTGGGGACCTGCAATAGGAAGGACTATATCGGGGGCCACAACCGTGAATTTCAAACACGTCAACTCGTACAACAAGGAAAATGTGGCGAGTCAGTGTGATGCAGGGGATGTATCTACGGGGACCAATATCGAGAACATATTATCCCTGTCAGGGGGATGTCGCCCTCAAACGTGTACTAGAAACATGTTCGGCCAGTCTAGGCTGAGGTACCCACGTTACCAATGTTGTCATCTCTCGATTGGAGAATCTAACAACATCTGCTCGCCGGCCATCCGAGATTCAACTGGACCCAGGTGATAAGAATCGTGACTTACCTAGGACGGTGGTGATTCCTAAGAGTAGTGGTGACCGCCACACACTCATGTTCGTAGGCAATGCGTGCATGTATGGTGAATGCTACTCGAGTGCGGCAAGGACAGCGCAAAACTATGCATCGTAAAGAGGGAAAGCAAAGAACGGAGTTGACTCCACCAATCTGTAAACCCTGTCAGTTTTCCATCCCAACCCCACCAGATCAACTCGTCTTGTTCATCGACGTCCGCATCTGCATCTTCTCTATTGGTCGCTGATTGACCTTCCGACTCAATCCCCTTCACACTGCCCGGGGGGACAGGGAGCTGGGGGTTATTGGAGTTGTTGTGGGAGATAGGGTGGGTCTCAATCTTGTCCACTATAGCAGAAAAAACAGCTGGGGGGACTCTGAGTTTGTGCTGAAAGAGGTGAGGGTGGTCAATTTTCCACTCATCAAGGAGGTGGAGCTGGGGAGAGTGGCTTTGTCTTGGTCGATTGTTGAGAACACATGTTTTTTCAACTTCATCCTGGAGTGCAGCAATAGCATCCTGGAAGCCAGAGAAAGCAGCAGTACTGAATAACAACTGCTCCATCAAGCCAGAGGATGAGGATGAGGAGTCAGAAGTTGCAGCACCAGAAGATGGGGAAGAGGGAACATCAGAAGATTGGGTTGTCATGGTGTTGTCAGATTGGGGTAGGCCTTCACTTGAGTTATCAGAGTCAGTAGCCTCAGCCTCCTGCAGTGCTACATGTAGTATATCTAAGTACTGTAGCAGACCAAAATGTTCCCTGGCTTGTTGAAGGATGGCTAGGAGTTCCTGGGGCTCAGTAACCCTAGGCATGGTATTGGTAGGTGGTTATCACTTGCTAGATCTCTCTATTGATAAGCATGCATGCTTTTCAGCGGAGTTTGAATTTTAAATTGGAGCGTTAATAGCATTATCTACACATCTACTGTTTCCGGGTCACGTGCTTTTTATGCGGAGTTTGAATATCCAGTCGGAGCTTTAATATTGGCCCACAAACTCACAACTCAACCACACTTGAGTTTGCTCGCATGTTTTTTCCACATTTAACTTTGAGTGGCCCTATTATATTGCTGCATAAGTACTTATAACGGCATGACAATGGTGAAGAACCCATAGCAATACCAGTGGAACTCATCACAATGTATACTAACCATTATTATTTATTAATATTTTGATGATCCATTGTTATTTCATTTTGCCTTGGTACACTCATGACAATGGTTAAAATTCCATTCAGAAATCACTACTTATTGATGTATAGACAAGTGGTAGTAATAATTGGAGAGTTCTACCTAATAATGCCAGTGGTGTGAGTGGACATGCAAAGCAGACAATGAGTGACTAAGAGCAGTAAGGGGAGGAAAGGACAGCAGCTCAACATAAGTATGGGGGTCATTGTGATGATGACACAAGGACAAAAGCAAATGCATACACTGTCAGCAACCATCAGATCATAGCTTACAGTGTAATTAAAATACTTATGAGATTAGTGAACCAGTGGGAGCAGTGATATGGGGCAATGGGATGAGGAAGATAGAATAAGTGTTGCATGAGAGGCATTCATAGTGTCAAGCAATAGGACAATGGAGCTGGCATCAACACACAACACTGTCACAAGTTGTCTGGAACCTTGAAAAAAGTCAACATCAGAAGTAATAATAGTGTCATGGGGGAAACATACCTTGAACCTTGAACCCACTCCCCAGGTGACAGACAATGATGAATGAGCATGACAGGGTGGATAACAGTGACAACACCATATGACAATGCAATGAACCAGGATAACAATGTGGGAGACAACAAGGTGTGAGAAGAGGGGTGAGTCATTTATAATATAGCCAGTGGAGTTTGAATGACTTAGAAGAAATCAGATCAGGTAATTCCAGAGGACAACAGCAATGATGTATGAATGCAGCAAATGAACATATTACAAGTAGATCTACATGACCTTGAAACATGAATTGCATCTAATATAATGGGATGCAGGCTAAATCAAAGACCATAGAACATATAGAAACCTGGCACATAAGTGACACCTGGTACTGCTATTAATTCAAACCTTTGTCTTCTTTGGTTTCGAGGACCTTGTAGCAGTAGCATGGTGACCACAGCAGGTGGGTTCCAGACCTGGTTCAGTAGCATGAATATCAGTTGTAAGACCCTTGGGAACCACCTCAGGAATGGCTGGAATCTCCTTTTGAGTGGCTGAGCTGTGCCAGTGACTCATGACTGGAATTGCTCATCAGGATCAAGATGTTTCAGCCTCAGCTGGGCCAGACATGTTCATCTGACCAACAGCAATGGTCACCACTGACACCTCAACACCACTGTTTGAAATTGGCTTCCCAATTGAGATAGAAGGGGACAATCAACAAGAAGCACCAGAAATAGTTTGAGCACCAAGATCAGCTTGTGGAGCAGTGACACTAGCTGGATGAGAGTGAAGGGGATTGAAATGAGTGACCAAGCTGGCAACAGGTGATGGAGCACAAGAGACCAATGACAAATTGGAGTCATGTAGATCTGAATCATGGCTGCCAGGGGCATTGAGGTCATGCAATGTGGAAATGGTGTCACACACCAAAGGTGTTTGGTGAGGTGGACATTGATGTAGCTGATGAATGGAGGTGAAGACCATAGCCCTCATGCGAAGAAGGACAGCCAGCAATGTCGGCAGTCATCCCTCGCACAAGAACAGGTTGTCAGTGCCAAAGAAAAAGGAGGAGGTGAGTTAAGCGCCCGTGTACGGCATTCCGGTTTTCAACGTATCTCCACCAATTCTGCAGACACTGAAACCATTCCCACACTCACTTGTAGTGCTCAGCCACATGATCCTACCTTCCAAGATTGGAAAGGATTTGTGCACTCCACACGTTTCTACAGCACTCCCTCCAAAAGATGCTCATTTTGCTAATTCTTCTGATATGGCTGCCTCCACATCAGTCATTTCGCTTGTCCCCTTTGCTAGGGACCATGGCTACATATATCTACCAGGAGTTCCTACCAGCTTCTGTCCTGAAGCGTCCTGGTACATCCCACCCTCATCTGCCCCCTCTCAGCCCATCCAGCTTGGACAGCATGTTCTTTTTGTCAGTATGACCTCCAGGAGGACATTCTTTGGTCGCCTCAGGTCTGTCATTCGCTTGGAAAGGTCTTATGTGGTCGTTTCAGTCTCTCCAGTCCAAGAAGCATATGGATCCTTCCTCCCTGCCCCCTGCAACATCTTCATACCGGTCTTGTCCGTCATTCTTCCAAAATTGCGACAGCTACAGTATAATCTACTGTTCTCCACTCTCCCTGATCGCATCCATGATGAGTATGATGCACATCTTGCCTCCTTGTTGCAAGATACAGCAGAAGACGCTCCCCCTTCATCCTCTCTTCCAACAGAGCCTCATTCATGAAGTTTTTATTTGCTTCACTGAGAGGATGGTTTGGGGGGGAAAGTTGCAATCCCCTATGCTCCTGTCACCCCACAGACCCCCAAAGCTTGACCCCTGTTGACATCTGACTCACCCTGTCCACTTTTGGGATGTACTATATTGGCATCAGATCAGTGCTGCCTCTCTGTCATCCCACTTTGGCCTAGAAGCGATCCCTTCAAGATGTGACATGCACAGCCTCCCCCTAATGCGATTCCAGTGCACTTTCCCAGTTCCTGACATTGCTTGACTCATACTTTGACATTCTGACTGTCTTTGACTCACCTATTGCAAATACTTACCAATCTTTTGACTTTGCTTACTGATTCTTCGCTTTTTGGCTTACTTATCCTTACCAATGCTTACCAATGCTTTCCAAGACGATTACCCATCGCTTACATTCCTTACTCATCAGTTACCAATCGCTTACCAAGTGTTTACACCTTGTTTTCCATAGGCAATGCCCCTGTACTGTATATAAGTCACTGTACTTAGGTAGCAAAAAAAAAAAGACATCAGAGAGCCCCTCTTGCTCGCAATTTATCATCTCTCAGTAAATCATTCATCAGCTTTGATAGTTGAGACTTTATTAAGGGTCTAGCTATCATCTACTTCGCTTGTCATCATCTATCATCCATATACTTTGCTCCAAGCCCTCCCTGAGCTCAGTACAGCTTAGGACATCAAATTAAGTCACCATCCATCCTTCTGTAGGCTGACAGCAGTCTACCCTATCACTTTCCATTCTTGCTCCCTCTTTGTCAGGAGCACCCCCAACCCTCAGCACTCATCTTCAAGTGTTGTAGCTCACAAAAAACCTCCCAAAGAACAGGTTCTACCATCTAGGTACCACATAGGCACACCACCACTCACTTTCATTGTCTTTTGTGTTGGTTTTGGTTGGTTTTCACCACTGAACCTCACTTTGACTCACAATGGGTGGGGTGTGACTCTCAGCAGGGTCAATGTTGTTGAGTTTGTCTAAAAATTCATCTTCCCAAGTATGTGGCTGCTCCACATCAGCAAATACCTCAGATTCAACATTTTCCAATTAAGACCCCTTCCCAAAGACTTCCTGGTTGAAGAAATTCATCATGCTGACAGCCCAAGGAGATGCTTTGGAAAGCTTCTCAAGGTAGAAATCATATTCTGATCAGCAGTTGACCTGCATTTCTGCACCAGTAGCACTTAATTCAGGATCATGTGACAATAGGAATTGAACCTTGGTATGATATTGACATCAGCATGTACTAGCACAGTGACCACAGACACCCTCACCAAGATGCAGGCACCAGCAATCAGGCCCTCAGTAACACTCAGCACACCCATCTTCTGACCCCTGGCTGGGGGCCATCCACATTTGTTTTCTGTGAGGATCAATTTTCCAAACATCAGGACATGGATAACCTATGGGCTGAAATCAATTTTCAAATAAGAGTGGCATTGAACCATGCATACCTTAACTAGGATGGGACTCTTCAAGAAGCCTCCAGTAACCATCTGCTTAGGATCTGCAACAAGAATGGGTGCAAAACAGGTGTATTCTCCAACTCCATCCTTCTTCAAGAGTGCCAGGCATGCCTTGTTGTCCTTCTTACAAGCAGGCTTTCCAGTAAAGAGATCTGGTGAAATGTTATATGGAGCAAATAATGTGCCAGCACAGTCCTTGATGACTTTGAGGACATTGGATCTCTCCTGACCATGTGCTTGTATGAACTTAAAACAAATTAATATGTTAGTGGTCACCAAGGTTGGAATTACACATACCACAGAGCCAAATTGCTTGTAGGTTACCATTGACTCATGTAAATCTGCAGGAATCATCTCATAAAGCTCAGTCAGAGCACCCTTGAGCTTCCCATCCTGTGATTTCCACTGTGCTGGATCATGTCGATCAGTATTGGGATTCAGAGCTGCTGGGAAAAGGCTTTGAATGATGAAAAAATGATACAGTAGGAGGTATTTCTTTGTGTCTTGCTCAATATGAGTCATGAGGCTGTTTGACTTGCTAGATGGGTTCCTGGACCACTTGGAATGCTGGCTATTGGCTTCAAAGAGAGCCTTCCTTGTCTGGTGCAGTTCCTTGCAGCATTCAGTGTATGCTCATTGCACAACACTGAGAGCCTAGCATTGTGTCAGCACTAATGCCTGGTGACTCATCATGAACAAGTATGTATAAATACATACCACTTGCAGCTCAGCAACATCAGCTTGAGGTCTGGGAACATGAGTAAGTCACCTGTGCTGTTCAGCATTGCTGTCCAGGTCTTCCAAGTCAGTATTGTCCATCCCTTCATCAAGGTTGAAGTCTTCAGGACCTCCATCCTCAGCATCAGAGTTGAAGGTGTCATAAGCAGTGCTGGGTGCCACATCAGTGAAGGAAATCAATGTCAAGGATCAGAGGAAATGGTAAGGCCACACATGGATGGATGCAAACCTTTGCAAGCCTCCCTTTATTCTCCTTATTAAGGGCCACAGATGTCACAAATCCTGATGGAGGTCAACACCTGTGAGTTGGGTGCTCTTAGATGAATACAGAAATTTTGAATAGTACAAAAAAAGCAATACATACATAGTAGTAGCCTCAGGGAATCCACATGGCAGATCATCAGCAGGTTGGATTTCAGCAGTTGGACATAACCAGCTATTGAGCTGGTCTGAGGACATAATAAAGCAAGATTTGACAATGCCATCAGCAGTAGGTGACTATGGTACAAAAATTGCTCACCTTAGTCCCTTTTGATATGTAATCAACCATACGTTCCAGGGATTGATGTTGATGTGGTACAAATTGCAAGTGAATAACTTATATGTGATGACACAAGGTTGTGGCATTGTCATGTGAATTGACTTGATGTTAACTTGAATCTGAAACCAACCTTTTGGTAGCTTTTTCTTTCTGTCTTTCTGGTTATAATATTACAGCTGTTTTATTCTGTTCATGTAATGTTACAGATTCTAGTGTAGACAACACCAGTGATGAACCCAGCCACAGAATATGTGAGAAAAACTAGCAGAAGAGAGAGCAGAATGCTTTGGCATTGTAAGTGGTTTGAGATGAGTTAGGGATAGGAGTGATAATGGGGAACTGCAAACTCACTGGGAGAAATACAAATCCTTCATGGGCAGCAGCAGCTGCATGATGAACAGCTGCAGAACCCTGTGGCAACTCTGCTTTATACTGGAAAATAGACAGGAAAGATGTAACCATGCTCAGAATGGAACATGAAATGGCAACCAGACCTCCAATGTGTGTGATACCATCCAGTCCCAGGAACAAGATAAGTGTGACAGAGGCACTAGGATAATGCAGACTGTGCAAGCAGAAAGCAGGGAAGGAAAAGAAGTTAGGAATGAGTATGACTATCATCATAACGATTAACCCTCACCATGAGACAGGTACAAGCACTGATGACAAACAGTGGCACATGACTCTGTGTGCTTGCATTCCCCTCCACATCAAAATGGCCACTATATCTTGCTTGATCCATGAACAAGAATGGAATGCCAAGGCACAGTATACCAATCAATATCTTGACCACCATGCATAGCATCGGGGTCTGCCTTGATGTGTGTGTGGCAATGATGTCTTGTGGGAGTGGTTTGTGTGGCCTGAAATTGACCTGACACCAATGAGCTGATGAAGAATGTTAGCCTGTAAGAACATAACACCAGCAAGGGGTATGGTGCAAAAACTCACTGGTGTGTAGAAGAACATGAGGGACCATGCATGTGGACAAAAGAGTGGATTGCTGACTCAGATCTGTCAAAAAATAAATCAGACAAGTGGAACTGAATGGAAATGTCCCAGCCTCACCATTGAGTAGTCTCAATGGTTCCTGACACTCCTCCTGACTAAAAGGCAGCTGAATTGGTTGGGGATGGGTGAGCAGCCAATCTGTGTAGGACCAATGTAGTATGTCCACAGCCTCCTGCCAGGACCCTTGGGAGAGAACCACATGGGCAGGATGGGTTTCAACATAAGACCAGTACCTGTACTCATCATCTAGGCCTGCCAATGCACCAGATCAGCATGCAAAACTAGAGGAGAACAAGTACAACTCACAATCATCCTCTCCCAAAACTCCCCCATCATCAGTGGGTGCATTGTTCAGAATCCACCTACACCTATGATCCACCCAAAATATGATCAAGTCTCCCATAGCTACACCCTTCTTTCTACTTCATGCCAACACCTTGTGACTCCTCCAAATCCACATCTCACACCCATCTGGAACTTGTCAGTTGGCCATGTTCTCCATGGCACTCTCCATAACCTCTCCACCTCCTCTAACCTTGCATGACTCCTCAGATCCAAATCTGTCATAGCACAATTTTCAGGGTTGCTGAAATACTGAATCCCATGAGGCAACACATTCAAACCACCTGCTATCCACATAAGGTCATCTCACAGAATAGTGGCATTCAAAATAAATCTGAGTCAAACAAATTTGGCCCAGGAATCAGTGTGAGCATGGCAAGCAGGTCCAGTGCATGTGGTTTAATTCAAGCTCTGCTTGAAAATGCCTCCCCATTGTCCATGCACAAGACGCTCTGCACGCCTGCAAGCGAGACAGATGACTATGATGGCATCGACTCCCCCTCAGATTCCAGCCAGAAATGCAGGTTCTAATCCTCCTTTCCCTTCTCAAGTTATATCCCCGCCCCAAAATATGATCTCTACGTCCCAGAGAGGGAAGCCAAAGACCAGGGGATCCAAGTCCCAGGCTACTGGCTCTTGCAAGCAAATGATGACTACCCTGGGAGGTCCTCTGCAGGAATCAAGGGAAACCATTTTCTGGGAATGATATCCCCACCTCACTAGCACACTCCTGAGCTGGCTCTTGCAACATCCTGCTGATCGTGCCATCCTATTCAGCAGCACTAAGCAGCGAAGTGCACAAGAAGGCTCTGCTTCCCTCGGAAAGCCCCATGGGTGAATGAAGAAAGAAATTCATGCTGTCAGTTGCAAAGGTGCTTTTTGCGAATGATCCAGAATATTGCAGTGGGTATGAGATGCAGCCAGAGAAGTTCAATACAAGTGTCTATGCATGCCTTGCAACATATGTCTTTATCTAATGATGGGAGATGGCATAACTCAATGGTCAACGCAGGTTAAAGAAGAGATATTGAGAGCAACTTGATCGTTTCAAGTCCACTGGTGGTGGGATCATTCCTGGTGATGTGAGGTATCCAAACCTGCTGGGTGAGTCTGTTAGATCATGTTCCCATTTGGTCCCACTGATGATCTGGTTTCAGTTGATGCCATTGCACATTTCCCTTGGTTCAAGGAATGTGATCAAATGTGGAGGGGAATTCCATCAATCGACACCCAACCACAAAACTCTACTCCTGGCCTCAATCGTGCTGGCAATTTTCTTGCAATTATTCAACCCGATTCCCCCTCTGTACCCCCCCCCCTCCCTCTGGTACTTCCCAGTCTGTGCCAGATTTGTTTGGAGAGTGTGATGACGATGAGACCATGGTCCAGCAGATGGAACATCCAGGTTTTCCTGGTGTCATCACTGATGATGACCACATGTGTATGGAAGAGGAGGAAGAGGAGGCTGGTGGTGATGAAACAAGAGGGCATGATATCGACGAAGAAGAATGTGACGATGACTGGATGCATGATTCTTCCCTCCCAACAGCAGGCCCAAGCCAATCAAATACTGTTTCACCGGTGGTCCCATCTTTTGCTAAGGCAAGTTACCGATATCTCCTAAGTGGTTGCACTGTACAAAAACTAACATGAACAATCTAGTCTTTCAGTGGCCCAAGTGACTTTCATAATTGGCAACCTAATCCTCCTGCTATGAAGCACAAGACACCATCCTGGGAAAATCACAGTACATTCCACTCTTCCCCATACCCCAAGCACGTCCCATCATTGACTTCAACAGTCACATCAACATTGTCGCCACTGTCTATTGTCACTAAGAGTCATGGCCATGGTCCTGGTTCTGTGGCATCAGGGGGAAGCTCAGGAAATGCAAGATCTGTCTCCAAGCTTGAGGTCATGCTAGCAGAGAAGTTGCAAGGACTTTCAGGAGATACTTCTGACTGAGAATACCAGATCACTCTTCTCAAGAATGAACGTCACATCGCAAAATATAACATGCACATGCATATGAAGGAGATTGAGCATGATGAGCGCGAGTGTCAGTGTGAACGTAGTGAAGCTGACAAGATCCACCATCGCATACTGGAGATGCGGAACCATGACATCCAGCTCCGCAAGCTGGATGCAGAGGCGTTTTCTAGGGAATCTGAGGTCCTCAAGCTCAAGCTCAAACTTGCAGAGATCGAGGCTCAGAAGGCCCTTGCTGCTGGTGGCCAAGCATCATCCTCTGCTACTCCTACGTCATCGATAATTACTCCTGCAGATCTTCCTCCATCCCTTACCTGATGTTGCTTGTAGGACGAACAAGTATGTTTTATCCATTTGTCCAAGTTGTCACTGTCGCCCTTTGTTTTTTTTACAAAATGCAAAATGTATTCAGATTCGTATCCCTCTCTCCACAATCAACCTCTCCATTAAGTGCGCATGGAATTGTTGTCCTACTGATCCTGGTTCTAGGGCCAGCAGCATATTGTTGTCATTCCCTTCATCAGGCTCCCCTTCCCTCATCACCCAATCCATTGTCCCTCACCCCAACTCTTCACAGCAGCCTTTCTTCAAATTGCACAACCATATTGTGCAGGATAAAGCAACATGTTATCCAGTACACAGCCAGATCCATATTCCCCAGTTTGTTACCAATTTTGATATGGAGTTCTCTCAGTGACTGAAACCAGCCTTTCAAGGCCACAAATGCATGCTCTACCCTGACTCAAATCTTCTGAATTGTCAAGGATGTGCCATGGAACACTTGGTAAGTACATACCTTTGAAACATAACGATTATATGTGTTCTGATGCTTTGTCAAGTTCCCCCCTTGTGGCTTTTTAAATGGCACAACACACCACTTCTCCGAGGGATATGCTGTATCAGCCCAAGTCCAGTGTCTGTGTGGCATAACACCGATTGGATCCTTGAAGATCTGCATTCCCTGAAATGCATATGCATCATGGACACTCCCCGGATTCCCCAGCGCATAATCAACAATGGCCAAGTTGTGTGGCATTATTACAACCTGCATGCCTGTAAGTTGTCTGTTTCTGCATGACATCATACTCACCTACCTGACAGTTTAGTGAGAAATTTGATTTGTGGTCGTAGTAGCTGTCAGCAAATGACTTCAGTCATGCATAAAGGTTAACAGTCATTCCATCCGCAGCAAAAACTCTGTTTCTCCAAGACCAGCAAGTTTGTGACTCCACAAATTCTCATGCACACCTCAGTTCTGGGGATCGCACATCTGGCACATAAATGAAGTTGTCGTGCTTGTCCAGCAGCGCTGCCATTACCCAGTGAGTACAATTGATGACTGTTCTGACACTAACACCTGCCCACTGGGCAGCATCCTCAGGTGAAGATGCATTACCATAGTGCCCCACACAGAAAAGGAAAATTGCGAGTTGAATGGCCACAGGTAATTGTTTGTTGTTCAACTTGTTCAAAAATATGTAGTGGTCACTAATTTGGTCTAAAATGTCATCAAATATCACAGGATTGACATGCAATTTTTTCTGGAACAAGAGTGGTCAGTGGATAGCAAAATGATCAAGGAGTGGCAGTTGAGATGCATGCATCATTGGTATGCCTGGTCATTCGAAGACTTGTGCCATGTGGACCTCATCATAGAGTGCCCAAATGGTCTGCAGCGCTGCTGTATATGGAGCAGTTATCCTCTTCACAGAATGGAGTGAGCTGAGGGACAAGGATGATGAGGCAGACATGGATGAAATTGGAGATAAGATCATCAGGGACAAGGGTTTGGACAAGACATCTGTCCAGTCGCCATCTGACATGCTAGAATTGGAGTCATTGTCATCAGCCTCCATGTAAGTCCCTAGCTGCTGCAACTGCATTTTGGTGACTCTGACTGCTGCATTGCCCAGGATCTCTAGGGTCTCTTGACGAGCAGACTTATGGACCATTGTGGCAGAAGGAGGACAGTGTTATCTACTCATATCTAATACCATATCTGAGCTGCCCCCTACAAATATTGCTTGCAAGTGAATGTTCGAACTTAGATGTTGAATATAAAAAGACATGATATCATGCTGTGTAGCACAGCACTCCAAAAATGCAAAGTGAGTGGAGGTTTAAAAAATCAGAACTTGAAATTTGTCAAAGTCGTGGCTGAAGTTTCTGCTAGGGTTTAGTGCTGAACTCAGCCAACTCAGCTAGGGTTTAGTGCCAAAATCACTCCAACTCAGTTTATTTTGAGCACCACTAATCATAGTGATTTGGAGTTGAGCTGTTGACATCTAATCAAGCTGGTCATGCCCATTGAGGTGTGGGCTGTGCATCTGCTGGTGGGTGTGCAGTCCCAGAGGCATGGCATGATTGCATGACCAAGTCAGATGCTGTGTGCCCCAGGAAAGTGGTGATAATTGGGGGCATCTATGGGCATGAATTAAGAAGAGGGCGACATTCACTGTAAGGAAATGCTTTAGTCAGAAGACAAGACAGAACTGAGAGATGTATGAAGAAGTAGAAGGCAGCCTTACTCCTGATTTCTTCTAAAGTAATCCATGGAATTGCTTCTGGCTGCACTGAGATTATATCCAGAAGGTTGACAAGAAGGTCTGGTCGACATCAACACCACACATACTTCCAAGAAGCAGGTACTCACTACGAGGATATGACTTCATGCATGAGTGGAAGGCTAGGCAGGTTCCCCTCAGCAAATGAAGATTGAACAGTCTTGCACATTCAATGTGTTGGAAATGGTTTAGGTTGTACCACTTACTCTGGCATGTGGATGGTCTTAGTGGGAGATACAGCAGCAATGGCTTGTGCTACCTTCACAGACACCCACACCATGCTACTCGACATGATGGAACAGGGATGCAGTGTGAAAAAGCATGTATAGTGGGTCAAACCATGGGCAAGATGGAAAGTTGCAAAGAGGGACCAGTCGAGTACACAAAGACTTCATCTTGCTCACAACATGTATTGTGAGTTTTGTATATGTGCATGCACACATGAAAAAAAATGAGACCAGATACTGCATTCTGTACAAAGATCTGATGTCGTCAAGGAAAAAAGTCAGTGGGTAAGTGCATGATGAATTGGATACAAAGGTGAAAGGGTATGCTCAACTTCCCAATACTTGTCTGACTTGAATGCATTCCATTGCAACCTTGACTTGCCAGCAATGCATCCATTGTATCCACAGGTGTGAAGTGTCGCCAACACTCATTCTGTTTCCTGACACCTTACCATATGCCTGTAAATTCATGTCAGTAGTGTATCCACCTCGAGTATCTTCAGTGCTCTTGCATCCTCATGGTCTCCATTCACCCAGTATCTGTTTAAATTAGTAGCTTCTGTTCTCATGTCATATGAAATTCACTTTGTGCCTCATTTGTGAATTCCCCTTGCTGACAGTTGACTGTTGGTTTCTTGCAAGGCATGACTTTTGATTCCCCCTCCATGCTTGGTGACTTCAACTTCAAAATCTCCTCTTCCACACTCAGCGACTTCAAATCTGCCCCTTCCCTGCCCCACCCATGTCCCCCAATGCATTCGAAATTCCCAACAGTGCTTTGACACTCATTGATGTGCCTGAGACTGCTGAGGCAGTGACAGATGTGTTCAGCGATTTGTATAGCTTGGTGGTATGTCTTTCATTCCACTTGTGTACTAGTCCATCAATATTGACTCACCACTAGAATTTTTCTCCCAACAGTTCACCCCCCCAAATGGGCCACTCCTAGTGCCATTGCTATGCCCTCCACCATAGACCCTGCTTTACTCTCCCTCAATGCTTATCCCCCTGCTTCCTGCAACTCACCTTGTGCTGCTTGAAACCAGTTTTCTGAAATTTCCTGTTACAGTGAGGGCATTGATGGAGAACAGCATGATTCCATTCAGCATTTTGACAGGTTGAAGCCAAACAGGTGGTATGGGAGGGAGCCATGAGAGAAGAGAAGATGCTGACTGAGTTATCAGGCACACTGCATGTGCTGTGTTCAGCTGATGTCAGACAATGTCATGCCATATCAGTCATTATCAGATCATTATCACTCAGTAACTTGGGTAACTCCCATCCAATGAAATTTCTTCCCTTGGCACTGCCCCCAAGCCATTGACATGTCATTACCAGACCATTTTAATGACCCTAATAAGGAAATATGTGAGCATTGTCAGCTGGCAGCATTATTATGTGCCTTGAAAATTTGTGACATTGAAAATTGTCGAAGTCCCACCATACTGTACATGGACAGGTTGCAATGCCATCGACAATGACGGCCATGACAGGTGAGCACCCTCTGTTGTACAGACTCAGCTAACACTCTCACCCTCAGTGCTGTTGACATGATGTCCACTCCCATCCCCAGCATCCATGCCAGCAAGTTTTTTTTTGTCTGCAGTGTCCTGACAACAACAGTAAGTAAGTTTTTTCTTTCTTTCTTTCTTTCTTTCTTTACCCCCACAACATTCTGACAACGACAGCAGAAGTCACTGTCAGTGGAGAACACCATCTTGATTTCTGTGGCAAGGTCCACCCTCGAAGTCTGGTGATTGTATCTCATGCATTTCCCCACCACTTCTCTCGCTTTTTGGATGGCTTGCTCTGCCAACTAGTCCTGTCTCGATTGATGCCTCGTTCATCCAATTTGTCCAGTGGTTGTCAGGATATCTCGATTTCTGTGGTAAGGTTCACCCTCGAAGTCCTGTGATCATATCTCGTGCGTTTCCCCACCGCTTCTCTCGCTTTTTGGATGGATTGCTCTCCTGACTAGTCCAGTCTCGAGGGATGCCTCATTCATCTAATTCCGTCCAGCAGTTGTCAAGATATCTCGATTTCTGTGGAAAGGTCCATCCTCGAAGTCCTGTAATTGTATCTCATGTGTCTCATCACCGTTTCTCTCACTCTTTGGGTGGATTGCTCTCCTGACTAATCTGTCTCTAGGGATGCCTTGTTCATCCAACTCCGTCCAGTGGTTGTTGAGATATTCCCAAGTTTTGTAGCTGCTCTTTCTCAACTTGTCAATAGGGCTACTCTCATTTTAATTGATTTTGTGCTGCACTTTATCCTGAATACATTGATTTCTATTCCTTAACTTTGAGCTGAACAAATGATGTTGGTGAGAAGTTGGATAGTAAAAATAGTGGGAAAAATAGCATAGATAGTTGAAAGATAGTCAAAAGATAGTACAAAGAATAGTGTGGATAGTAAATGAACCTACTAAAATGACTATTCTGTCTTTTATTACTATTTTAGTGCAAATAGTACGAATAAGATATAAATAGTATGAGAATAGTACGAAAATAGTAATGTATGAATTTCCTGATGTAAATGGGAGAGGGTAGGACGAAATCCGTACACCAGGTTCAAATAAAGGATGCAAAACATGCTCTCAGACAACAAATGCTAGGTGCGATAATGCTCTCCCGACCATCCGTGATGCCAAAAGCATTGATCTGCATTCAACTCAACCGCACAGCAAACCTTTGTAGATTTAGGAAAAGAAATTCCACACCAGGTGGACTGCAAAGAAGTGATAGAGATCTCGAATCGTATCCACCTTGAATTGAACCAGGAAATAATAGAGCCAGAGGCTCCAGTATAAAACTTCCACACTCGTTGGGTGGTCTGCTGAACAACGGACTGTACTCAGTAAGCAAGCGATGAATTATTAACAGGTATGTCATTGGTCCTACCGATCAGCAGCAGTGAAATGTGTTCATTCAATCAACTTTCGGTATATTCCATGTACGACAGCCTTGGAATAAAGCCAGAGGATACTTGCCAAATGGGCCGTCCATCGCTGGTCTGAGACGTCTGCTTAGTGTACGGAGGGTTCGTCTATTGGCGAGACCGAAGACTCGAAGAATGTCGTAGACTTGAAGACAGTGATGCTGCATGGTACGTGAGCATGACAGGCGAAGCTGCTGGCACCCTATCCCGAAAAACGAACATGTGCCTGTCCCTGCAAAATGCTTCATTTCACAGGTGTGCTAATAAAAACCGCCCACCCGGCCGATACAAAAGTCGATACCCATTAGAATGAAAACCGGAAATGAAAGGTATAAAGAATCTCCACAGCCAAGGGGTTCTGTCGTATTCCACCGTACCGACATATTCAAAGTACTCCGGATAAAGCCAGCCCACTCACAATCACAAAGCCACACAGTGTTCTCTTCCCGGACGATGATGTTTCGCATATGGATATCCTAACGAGTAAATACCAGGGACAGGCAGGAATGGTCGAATGGAAACTTGTTAGGGTCGGGTCCAATGAATTTGAATCGTTTGGAAACGGCGGACCTGCTGTTGAACCACTCCGTCAAGTCGGAGTAAGTAAGATGTGAAAGGGCCAGCGCCCCGCTCCGTGAACTATCGCCCCTTGCAGCGAAGCGGGACTTCACCCACAGGTCCTGAAATTTCAACAAGCCTTCTGGGAATTTTCCACAGTTATCATATGTATCCGCGGGGGGCCCATGTAATGTGAAGCTTTCGCCATAAGCTCAGGGTTGCTTTCGGAAGAAGTGGGTTTAAGTGGAGGAAGGTGGGATACAATGGATATACTAGGTCAAAACAAAGGACAGGGAGACGCGCTCTCATACGGCGAATAAGAGGTATGTTGATGCTCTCCTTGCTATCTGTGATGCTACAAGTACCTGTGCATGACGCTCGGAAAACGCCTGTAAATTCAGAAATTCTAGAAGTCCCAAGTTATGTCTAGTTAGATTAAGAGGACAAGATGTAGTTTAAAATTTATGCGACAGTCAGGTCGTTTCCTGAACAACGGACCGCCGAGTGATGAATTGCTAGAGATGACGGCAGTCCTACCATCAGGGAGCAGCAAGATGCGTTGATTCAATCGACTATTGGCATATTTCGCACAAGGCAACTTCGCCTCAACGAGGGACATAACGCCAGAAAGTGCCTGCCAAATGCTGTCCGTCGTTCGTTCGTGAAGCGCGCTATACGACCTGACCAGTGTACGCACGGTTCATTGTTTGGGCAGATCGAAGACTTGGAGGGTGTCGCTGGCTCGAAGGGATGCAATTGTTCAACTACTAATTAAACTATCCCGCAATCTGTTATGACAGTTAGCAATCACGACTCTCATCAGCAAATTCACACATTACCATTGCAGACTATTATTCATACTATTTATGTCCTATTCACACCAAAATAGTTAGAAAAGACATAATAGTCTTTTTAGTAGGTTCATTTACTATCCACACTATTTTTCGTACTATTTTTCGATTATTTATGTTATTTTCCCACTATTACTACTATCTGACTTGTCATTGACTGCAACTTTCTTAGCACTTATTCTCACTATTTTCACTTTTGTTCAGCTCACATAAAATGTGATGCATTCATGACAAAGCAGTGCAGTGCTGAAACATTAAATGAGCATAGGCCTACAACAATCCAAAGCAAGGGTGACTCAAGGAAGCACAAAAAAAGACACAATTAATTCAATAGTGGTGCTCAAGGTGGCTTTGGAAGTGCTCTGGAAGTGCTCTGGAAGTGGCAAATTTGAGAGAAATGCCATGATGGAGTTTGAAAATTATGCCTCCCTATCAATGACACCCTTGACAGTCTGCTTGCCTGCAGTCACTCTTATCAAAACCCATGGCTTCATTGAGTGGACAAGCTTGTCGAGGATGGCCTTCTGTACTGCAACTACTGGTGGTGGATCATCCTCACAAGTACCTGGGAGTGGGAGTAAAGGGAAGGGCCCAGCATCCAACAAGCAGCTGGCAGCTGACTCCTTGATGGAAAGTACCCAGCCAAAAAACATCAATTTGGATACTCCTTGTACCAAAATACTTGTCCAGTGGCTTCCTAGCCATCCTGCTAACTGCAGGATTCTTTTCAGTGACAAAAACTCAGGCAACTTACCCCCATCATTATCATCTACTTCAACTGAGAGACTGGTGGGCCACAACAAGAAGGAGGTCCAAGCAATGATTGCCCAAACCATTTTTGAGGATGACAGTGTCTACAAGGACATGTACACAGTGAGTGCTGCCAAGTTTCAAGTCAGTGTGGGCAACCATCTCAATACATGAGTCTCCAACCATCTGATAAACCCAGGATTCACTAATGATCATCTAGGCTGAAAGCAAGCTATCAAAAGTGCCATGTGTGATTCAAACAGTCAGGGGAAGGCATCATACCTGGCCATCCAAAATTCACCAACCTTCATGGTATGTTACATGACCGATGTACAAGGATGCAGAGGCTTATGTGTACATACAGATGTTGTTATCAACAGTTTTCCTTGGTATGATGACTTACATTCCATTTGGCAGGGGAACCAATTGTTTGATCCTGAGCCAAACAAAAACCATGCAGAGGGCTTCTTAGCAGTTATCCAAAACAAGACACTTGGTATGAAGAATGTTTTGGGTTCTGGGGCTGAGATTGCAGGTGATTGCATGGGTGTGGGGGGGACAGCAGTGTAGGGAGCCATATACTCCCTGAGGCTGGAACAGGAATCTGTCACCAAATTCTGCAGGCCTCTATGACAAACCCATTTTGGAATTTTTCCCACTCATGTCCTCATGTTTCCTCCTGACCCCTGTTGCCTTTGGAGTTTCTACCAACCTTCAGCATGTCGCTCAGTCATCAAAATGCTGATCTGGAAATTCCACATTTGCACAGAGTCACCTGGAATTCAACAGCCATGCCACTGCTCAGCCATATCACCAGTCATCTGTGCCACTTACCTCTAAAAAAACTCCAGTTTCCCCTGTCACCTTAAATTCTGCAAGCTGGACTTTGTGCCAGTATGCTACACTCTGCCCTCCTGTACCACTCAGCTCCACCTCCCACTGGTATGCATACTCTTGTTCTGTTGGAAGATACCCCTTACTGTTGTCCCATTCTTACTCTCATCTACTACCCACTGGACTATTTCATGTGCATCTGTATTTCACTGATGTCTGATGTCCATTCCTTTATTTTCCAGTCTTTTAGTTTTTCTGCCCCACCTTACTCCAACTCATACCTGCTCCCCTTGTACTATATAATTCTGCCAGGATGTCAGAAATAGACCACCCATCTTTTGGAGTCACTATCTGAGTCATTCATGTGTCTAGGTGTTCAAAGTGTCTGCTGCATATTCTGTGTCTACTGTGTCTTCTGCATTTCTGTGCCTCACCTCCATGTCTCATGAGTCTCAGAAATACTTCTTTGTGCCAAGGTCATCACTCAGAATTTTGTAAACAAGTCTACTCATACCCAATTCACCTACATCTCTGCAGAATTAAATTCCATGCCCCACATTTGACTCCTTGATCAACTCTACCATTGTATTCTACATCTCCTTCCTACTCAGCACCCCTTGGGTGAGCCTAGGGATTACCCTGCAGCTTCCCCCCCCCTAATTGCATGCGACCCAGAGGTAGTGTCCCACAGTGGGGGAACTCAAGGAAGCTGAGGAGGACATGCCATCTCAAGTTGGTGGTGAAGTCACTAATGAGGGTGAAGAAGATGGTGGAGCTGGGTTTGAAGAGGCAATGCTGGGGTTTGGGGATGAGCAGACTGGTGGTGATGAGTACCCCAACATCAACATGGACTCATTCAGAGCAATGTTAATGAAATTTTACTGATAAGTTATTGCTAGTTACAATGGCCTTCAATGCCAAGTGACACTCATTTCCCCTCTGGGTTCTCCCTCCTGCGAAGGGGTCATATGCCCTCATCAGATAGCTGAATTGTCTTCTCTTGGTCTTTGCTGTATCTTTGCCCTCCTCCTTCATCTGCAAGTATTGCCTCTATGACAACATCTGACTCCTCCAGTAGCTCTTCCTGAAAACCTAGCCAGTCCCTCTGGGACTCATCATCAAAGACAAGTTTGATGAAGCCAAGTTCAATGCTAACTAAACATGGCAAGTCTCAGCTTCAAGACCAGGTCATTGACTTGAGTCATGAAGTTGAGTCACTAGCAGCTTCTTCTTCTTCTGGGAAGACTCAACACTATATGATCAAGATGGAGTATCTTTGTAGGAAGGAGGAATTGATGAAAGAGCAGGCAGAAATGGCAACTAAGATGGAATTGGAGTTGGAGGAAAAGAAACTCAACATCCAGCTGATGAAGGCCCAGGGGATCACCTTCAACAGCAAGGCAGAGATGCTTTGCCTCAAAATCGAGCTTGTGAAACTCATGAAGGCCAATTTGGATACAACCCCTCCTGCTGCATAGGTTTATCTTGTCATGGTTAAGTTTTTACTCACACTTCCCCATTGTATCCATCTCTGGCACATTCCCACTATGTACTTGCATCATATTCATGTTTCCACTATTCTCTTGCAAGATGTACATATGGTGAATGTATTTTTTTCATCTTGCTAATACTACCATCTCCCACAACTGCCATTAATAGGTTTGTTCCCATCTGAGATGTTGAAACAACTGATCCAATAGCTTTGCTCAAAATTGCTGACCAATAGTCTCCACAGCCTCCACCACAGCAATTCCATCCCCATCATCAAGGTCACTTCCTTCATTGACCACCCAGTCAGTTTAATGCTCAATCATATCATCCATTTCCTCCTCAAACCGGATGATCATGTTGTGTAGGATGATGCAACAAAGCACCCAGTAAATCATGACTTTCATATCTTTCTCCATCCAGATTTTCAGGTGCACTTCACAGAGGCTTTGAAAGCACCCTATCAAGGTAGCAAATGCGTGTTCAACTTGTACACAGATCTTCTAAAGCTGTCAGCCCATGTACTGCAGCAAAACTAGGTGTGTACCTTTGAAAGGTACTTGTTATACACATTCTGATCTTGAGATAATCTCCCACCTTTAGGTTTTTTGAAGGGGACAACACACCATGTCTCCAATGGTATGCACTGTCTGCCCACATCCAATGATCACATGGAATCAACTGCATAGGGTTTGAAGCGATGTGAGTCCCCTGGAAGGCCCACACATCATGGACACTTCCTGGATGTCCAAGTCTGTAGTCCATGACAAGAAGATTGTGCAGCAAAACAATAAGCTATCTCAGTAAGTTTCTTCTGCTGTTCACACTCAGCATTTGAGTACACACCTGGCAGTTCAACAAGTACTTAGATTTCTATCATAGAATGTTTCCCTGATGATATGTGGTTTCTCAAAGAGGGGAATACTCAAACCATCAGTGGCAAACATGCCATTCCTCCAGGCTGAACAGGTGCATGACTCAGTGAAAACCCACACTCTTTCCATCTCCAGTGAGTCTTCAGATGGAATATTGATGAATCTGTCATGCTCATCCAGTATAGCTACCATCACATGGTTCATACAATTGAAAACTGAGCCAATGCTAACACCAGCCCACTGTGCTACATCCTCAGGTGACACCACATTTCCATAATGCCCTGCATGGAAAAGGAAGATCACCAGCTGGACTGTGACTGCCAGCTGACAGTTTTTGGAATTTCTTTGGAATATCACTTGTCCACTAATCTGATCCAGAATGCAGTCAAAAATTGGTGGGTCTACATGCAAGTGCTTTCAAAACAGGTGGGGCCAATGATCCACAAAATGTTCAAGGAGGCACAGCTGAGATGCCCACATCATTGGCATCTCAGGTCTCTCAAGGATATGCACATGCTCTACTTCATCTCTGAGAGCTGTGATTGCATTTAGCAGCTGAGTGTAATGCCCATCATGCTCAGCTGTGGAGTCTGTGTCATTGGAGGCACTGGATTTGAAATCTGACAGGATCAGAGTGACTGGCAATGGCAGAGTGATGAAGAAGAGAGTTGTGGGGGAGCTGGAGCCTGAACTCAGTGACATTGACATAGATTCCGAGCTGCTACTGTCAACTCCACATCGTGCATTTTCAAGCCTTGCTATCGCAACATGAAGGCTAGTCTCATCCAGCTGTTTGAGCAGATCTTGGTGGACAGATTTCCAGGGCATCTGGTAGCTCTTGGATGATGGGTAGATGTTGATTGATCATGTACAATGCATTAATACAAGTTTGATATGTTATTTGCCATGTATCTTCCAGGATAAGTAACTACCATGTATTGCTAGTCAAGCAGTGCTACAGGGCCTGGCATGTTGGGGTCAAATTTTATAGCAGCAGTGGTGTGATTCCAGAGCACTTCCAAAGCACTTCCAAAGCCACCTTGAGCACCACTAATGATTGTACTTGGCAACAAGCAACTCAGGGCAGAAGGGGGGAGAGAATGAGAGCACATCCAAATCGCAGGATCCTTTCAATGACTTGTTAGTAGTGTGCATAAATGACAATGTGACTTACAAAGAGTGGCAATTAAATCATTGACATTGTCCTCCCCACATTGAAAGCTCCCTCCCTCTGACATGCAATCCATACTGTATGGAATGAGCATAGTTGCTCCCATAATGATGTTATGGAGCACAGTGTTGTCACATTTAGTGATGGCTATATCATATTGCCTGGTGCAGGGGCCACAATTCTGCTTGGAGAATGCTGAAACAGCTGACAACTCCTTCCCAGTTGCCTTGTTCACCTTGGGTGAGATCTTAATAGCTACCTTTCTGAGGGATGTGTGCTTAGCATCAATTTGCAGTTCACCAGTTTTGAACAGGGAAAGAGCATGGTGCAACTAAAGAGAATAAGTTAGCTGACTGTCTAGGGCTAAAATGCAAGACATTACTGCAGCACAGGTAAGGGCTAGCGCACCTTTGATGCCAGTATTTTTCAGTTCCCTGATCTTCAGTTTTGGGACATCAGGAGAATCATCACAGGGCTGCAGATGTGCATGGCCAAGGAGGTATAATACAAAGTATGACTGGAAAATGTTCTCCAGTTTGTGAGAATCTTGGTCTGAATATAAAAATGCGAAGCCTTCCAACAGATTAGAACAGAGTTCCTGGGCCTGAGTAAGAGACAGCACACCAATTTCTGGATCCAAGACAAGGAAGTGAGCAATAAGAGTGATTGCAGTGGATCCAAAGTTGCTGCACCACTGGCAGAGTCGTTGACATGCCTGTCCAAGGAAGCATGAGTCAAGTAGCAAGGTAAATAATACTAACAATACAATATTAAAGACCACTGTCCCAGGACAAATGTCATTCAGGTCCTCGAAGTCTGGAGCAATGGTCAGGATAATGATTCACAGTGACTGTATGAGTTCTTCATCTGAGATTTTCCAAGGGTCAGCTATGCTTCCAGCCCACACAAGGAGAGCAGGCATAATTTCTTTTGCCCACATCTTGCCTGCTGTCAGCACAGAAGGCAGATCTTGGCTTCAGTAATGAGAGCATTTGCTGGCCTTTCCTGTGGTCCTTGTTGAAGGCACTTGACCTGCTGTAGTGCTCCTCTGTCCTGATTCTTGGTCTGCATCCCTGTTGACCATTGATTTCTTTGGTTTGTCTGCTCCATTATTGGTCTGTGATTCCAAAAGAGTTAATGTACAGTTCAAATAGATAAAAAAATGTCCCATCATGACACACAATTCCTTAGCAGGCAACATACGAGAGTTCAAATTGTGATCCTCAATGTCAAAGTATTCATCATCAAAGTCCTCAACCTCAGATGAGGTAACATAGTTGGCATTGTCATGATCTGAATACTTGCACTTCAAGCCAGTCTGTGCCTCCTCAAAAATGAGCTGATTGAATTCATTGTTGCTCTCTATATCATTAGCTGTGCTCATGACCACCTAAAAAGCAATGTAACACAATGGTCGAGTTGCATCAAGAGACATACCTTGAATTTGTCATGACCTACAACCTTGACAGAGAAAGCTGGTTGGTCTTCTAATTCCTCTTTGTCCATGCAGTGGGTTGGTGCAGGCATCTTTCCATGATTGAAGATGTTGAAGATGACTGATCCTACTTGATAATGTAGCACATACCTGGTATGCTAGGCTTGTATTGGAGTTGACAGCAGTAGTAGCTCCACTTGTCAAAGAAGGGATGGAAGTTGGTAGTCTGTTGGATCATGGCATCAGCCCAGTTGGGACATCCTTGACCCAATGATGGATCTGGCAGTCCAAGTTGGTGTTTGGGTCATCTCAGGTACTGAGAGCATTTCAGGTGAGGTTCAGCCAAAACAAAGTTGACTCAGTAAGTAGCAGCATCTGGCATCAAACAGTTGAAAATAAGAATGTATGTCTGCTGGGAGGTTTTGTTGGATCCACATGTTGACACCACATTTGCCAGCAGATCAAGGTCAGTGACTGCACCTTGCCTTCTCAGCATGTGGCTAGTTGTTCTCCCACTCTGTGGCTTGTTACTTGTATAGTCCACAATAGCAGGAGCAGTTACCTGGTGAGTGTCAACTTCCATATCAGCAACTTCAACTGATATGTTATCAGTGTCTGCAATTGGATGACATAACCGAAATGTCCTCTCACCTTCACCACAAGGTTGGACAACTATATTTCCAGGTTTTCCTTGAAGGCTGACAGGCCCCCATCTTGGTCTGACTGACTTTGCTTTAGCAGCAACTTGGATTGCCTGTCTGGTCTCCATCACAACAGGAGGGCTGATTTTCTGGCCAGGATCTCTACTGGCAGGCACCTGTCTCAGTCTGACTGGCTTTGCTTTGGCAGTCTCCATCTCCCTGACTCAGGCATGAGCCTGCTGGATAGCAGCCACCTGAGCATCGATAGCTTCTTGCACATGCAAGTCATCAGCCTTCTTCTCGGCTGGGGTATGCTGTTGAGTCTGTGCTTCAAGAATGATCTTCCCTGGATGTAGGTTGGCCTTTTCTCATCATGGACAAATATTAGAAGAAGCTGACATAATACTTGTCATGTGTGGGGGGAGATGAAGACAGCACAAGGTGAGCTTGAACCTGTCATTTTTTATGCAAGAAATTTTCCTTGCAAACAAATGCACTACAGAGTCTCTTTCCTCACAAACAAATATGCAAAGTTCTGCCTAACTTAGGTTTCTGACCATTTACTGATCACACAGGGGTCCCCAAACATGTTTGTTTAGCATTGAAATGTTGCCATGCAGAGGCAGTGCCTGAAGCTCTCAATGGTCAAAATTCAGTGCTCTCTATCTTCCTTGTGATGTGCCAGGCTGCAACCATTGGTTCAAAAACCAGTCAGGGCTTACTCAGCACAAGTGCAGCCATCTGCACCTTGGCTGCTTTTGAGGGTCTCAGGGTTACTTTGAACAGGAGCATGGTTTAAATGCCATACCCCCAGTAGCTGAACATGTTCTAGATTATGATGATGGTCCACATGACTTCAACTGTGGCACAACATTGGATCAGAAACTGGATGGAATGATTGCAAAACTCATTGGTCCTGGCAACAAGGTTTACCACAATTATCATGCAGGTCTTAACAGTAAGCCTACACACACATTATCCTACCTCTACTCATACAATTTATTACAGCACGAAGGTGTGACTCCCAGGGCCATTTTCTCCCAGATGATGCTCTGCCACTGCTTTGTATACAGGGATTGCTGGATGATTGGGCTCCATACCACAATCAATTAGAATTTGAACTTGCTGAGTTTCTTTTCAAATGTGCAGAAATGCTGGCAAACAAAATTGACATGTTGCTTGGAATCTGGGCTGCCTCATTGCTCGAGTTAGGTGGCAATCCACTATTTGCCAACCACATGGATCTCTATCATGTGATAAACAGCATGACTGTTGGCACAGTCAAGTGGGAAAACTTCAAAATCACTTACAAGCACAAGTGGGACATACAGGACAAACCAGATGAACAGGATGAAGTGATCAAACTGGGTGGTCAGGATGGTCAGGATGGCCAAGATGGCCAAGATGAAGCCAAGACCCCTTGGATGTTCAACATCTATGATACATGGTATTGAGACCCCCATCAAGTTATCCACAACCTCCTCAGTTGCACTGACTTTAAGGATCAAATGGACTTCATGCCATACCAGGAGTTTGATGCCACAAGTGATCAGAGGCATTGGGAGGATTTTATGTTGGGTGACTGGGCCTGGGATGAAGTGGTATGTACTGGGTTTGTCTCAATGTAGGTCCTACAAATCTCATACTTCTAGGACAAGATTATCAGTGATAACCCATTGGCAGCTGGAGCAATGGATATGAGGTACTGGCAGGGGTCAATGGCATTGGGCAGCATATGTGGGAATGGGGTAGCAGTATGTATATGAGGTACTGGCAGGGGGCAGAAGTTGACAGCACCAAGCGGCATAGATGGTGTTGAGCAGCAGCTTAGTCAGGAAAGGGCCAGTGGCATGGATGTGAGGTGCCAGCAGGGTCAGGTGTTGATGGCGTCAGGGGGCATACATGGGAATGGTAGCAGCAGGGGTCAGGTGTCACCAGCATTGAGTGGCATAGACAGGAATGGGCAAAGTCAAGCACTATTCACTCACAGCATCAGCATTCAGTGGCATAGGCCACAATTGCATGGCCACAACCTGGGTCAGCAGGTTAAACCCTTGCAATTGTGCAGAACATATGTGGCAAGCACCATGCATGATTTGAGGGTGCTGCTAGTGTGCACTAGCTTAGTGGTACCAGTGGATTTATAAATTGCAAGGCCAGTCACCTGGCCAGACTCAAATGGGATGGCACACACCAGAGAGACCATATCTGCACCATGTAAAGCAAAAGCAGGTGGGGATGATCATTCTCAGGAATAGCAACAATGAAATGGTAATAGTACATTCTATGGACATGTTAATCTACATCCATCCAATTAGCAGCATCCTCATCATCAGCATCATCCCCACCAGCACAGTCGGCAACTGCCCCCAAAGAGACATAGATAGGGGGCCAGGCTTCTCCTACACCAGGGGTGGATGAGTATGCAAAATGGTGGGGGGGTGGCAGGAGAGTAGAAGGGGTGAAAAGCATATCACCCAGGAGGTTCTGGTGGATGCTGGTATCAATCGCAACCTCCTGGACCATCATAGTGGGTGCAAGGTCAAGTATCCTTGCACCATCAGTGGGAATGACTGCTTGATGACTTGTAATTGCAAAGCCAATGGGGGAGGGGCAGGAGGGTCCAGGTGCATCAGGTGAGGAGTGTGGCAACGGGTACAGATGCTGGTGTAAGGCCTTGACAACATCGCAAAGCATCTGCAACTTGGTCTGGGTATCTGCAAGGGCCTGCTGGGTATCAGCAAGCTCATGGTGGGTTTCCAGCAGATTGTGTGCCATCTCCATATTCTGCTGCTGGAATGCTGTGATCTCCTCTTCCATACACTCCATTGGGGTGGCATTGGGGGTCACTGGGCAGGATGGGGTAGTGAGATGGCTTTGGGATGTTGCCACCCCCCAGGATGCCAGGCTTGATGTCTGCCAACCTGACTGCTGCCAGGATGGAGTGATGATGACCACTGCATTGAAAACTATGTTAGGCTCAAATAAGAATAGTGGAATGAAAGAAATGGAGGACTTACTTTGCCTGCAGGAGCTTGGAGCAGCCAAGGTGGCTGTCTTGCCAGCAGCAGGTGTCATACTTCTAGTGGATGCCCACCACTTCTGGGTCTGCCATGTGGGAGTGGTGGGTTCTGAGGATATTGTGGCTGATGGCCCTGGTGAAGGGCTTTGAGGACAGCATTGGCTGGGGTTACTGGTGGCTGCAATGGTTTGGGGACAGTCCACTGTTCCATCAGGCACCTCAGTTACAGCACGACTGCAGGGTCGCCTTGACTGTGACTGCATGGCCTTCACTCCAGTGAGGATACTACACCTGTACTTCTGGCAGCTACACTGCCAACACACAGAACCTGGCTTTACCATGCATGGCAGATTTTTCTCCATGCACCTATCCCTATCGCATTGGTCATCTTCAGCAACAGGCATATAGCCAGTGGCAGGGGTTGCAAGAGTGGCAACCAAGTGGCCACAACCAGTGGATGCTCCAGCAGTTGCTGTCAAAACATCAGCATCACTTGCTGCCACTGACCTTGTATGCTTCTGTGGCCTTCGACTTCTAGGATGAGTGCCAGTAGGAGCAGCCTGACTAGTTGATTGGCTGCAGGGTTCTTCCAAAGTCTTGGTGGTGGCAGCAGCATTGTCACTTGTTTGAAGTGGGTCTAATGGAACTGCACACCCTTTACCCTTATCAACAGGCCTTCCAATCTGGTACCACAGATGGTCTGTGACATTGGCATCCATTGTGTCTCTGATCTTGTCAAAGTTCAGCCACTCCTTCAATGCCATAAGCACCACCAGATCTCTCATAATCATTTTGGCAGCAATGATGTGGGTAGGGATGGTGAATTTTGAGGGCAGTTCCTCAACCAAAGGGTGCACATGGGTCTGGAATGTTGTAAATATTGCAGGATAAATAGATTGGCATGCCACAAACCAACTGTTCCCAAATGACATGCATAGCTCTTTTCCAGTATTGCTTGTTCCTGTAGTCATGGAGTGTCAGAAGCTCTGCCATGACTATGTCTGCAGCATTAGTGACTATTTCACATGGGAGAGCAATGGAGGGGGTGGTGGTTTGAGATGCTTCAGCATGTTGGGACATGTTTGTGGAAGTGGGGTACTGGTGCAGGAGCAGTGCAGTCAAGTGATAGTTGACAATTGCATCAGCAGCACAGCCACATTTTATATTTTCATGAACCATTGTGCTGGCATCAACACTGGCCAGTAGACAAGCCCAAATAGCCAAATCCAACATTGCAATCAACTTATCAACATTTTACAGATTGCTGAATATTATGGAGCAAAAGTCAGTAAGGTGGAGGCCATGCAGTCCGGACACTCAATGTAAGTAGTTGTTATAAGATACAACTATCAATAACCTTCACCAGTCATCTCCCCATGTAATAAACCATGGGTATTGCGAGGTGCTGACAATACAGATATGGTCATAGATGAACCAGAATTTCTACCATTCAGCACAGCCTTGAATTCCACAGCTTTGGGCCATCAGTTAGGATCACCATCATCCTCCATGCTGCCAAATGCCAGCCCTTCCCTGCCATCACTCAGCATGCACCATCTTGGGACTCACCACCACTTTCACTGGAGTCATGGCCATCTGCTGCTGATCAACAATGGGAGGTGCAGCAAGCAAGTCATTCCATGCCATCCTTGGCCACCATTGCACCTAGCTTGGATTTTCCAACATCTTCCCTGGCAGTCTCACCCCCACCTAGATCATTGCTGGCATCTGCACAAATTCCACAAACTGTGCCATCTCCCATGGTTCATGCATATATGGATGAGCAGTTAGATGGTGTGGCAGCCTCCAAGCCACAGCCCATCCTGGCTATATCATGGCAACCATCCTCCCAGCCTATGGCCACCAATGCCGCTGCTGGTGAGTGCCATGTCATCTCTTGTTGCTGCCAGTATTAAGTGTATTAGCTCACTTTTCAGCACTGCAATGTTTCTCCAGCAACTTGGGTATACAAGGACTTCATGACAAAGGGCCAATTACAACATGTAAGTTGTTTTATGATATCCCTCACATATATATCAATCATCCAGCAGTGGGAAAAGCATGGTGGCTTGCAGTTCTTCTTGTGGGACTGACTGATGAGCACCCACCCTGTCTTAACACCACTACTGATGGGCCAATCATTGTGGCCTACAACCACTACAGCAATATATTGGTGGAATCAAGCATCCAGTTTCGCCTGTTGCTTGCAAGGAGAGCACAGCTGGAAAGGACTCAGCAATATATACAAGATTTGATGACCAGTGATTGGGATGGTGAGGATGAATTGGAACTGGATGAGGATTTGTTGTAATGTAGCCATTGGTTGTCAAAATGTAGTATCACATTCCATGGCCATGTAAAATACAAATGCTAACATCACCTACATTTCTTGGAAGGACTAGGAGTAGGAACATCATCATCAGGCCACTTTGGTGCCTTCCACACCTGTTTTGATTGCCACATACCCCTCGCATTGTCTATGCTGGTCTGGTGTGTGGGTACTAGGATTGAGAGATAAATTGAATCCACAATTCAGTGACTGTGGCACAAGTACTGACTCATTGATGGAATGGGCAACTTGCACTTTGAATCTTCCTGTTTATGGTCTCTCCTGATAGTTGTTGGCACTGCCAAAGGATCTGCCAGGTGGACTGAATCAGGTGAATCAATGTGGTGGGCATCAGGCACAGGTTGCACAGGGCTTGTGATACTGCCCTCAACCTGCTGCAAGGCATTTGATGGTTCCTTGCCAATGGCTGAAATATGTCAGCCATTGATGTTAACAATATTCAGCTGTTGTGGCTTACCAATTGGCTGGCAGGTGTTACCCTCAGCCACTTGGCATCCAGCAATCCACTGCTGGGAATCCAGCAATGGTACTGCCTCTGTGGCATCTTCATCCACCATGCATGTGCCTGTACCATCATTTCTGTTTGATGGCAATGCTGGTGGAATTTGACAGAGATTGGATTCATTGTCAGAATCAGACCCTACAACTGTGTTCCCCATTAGATAATATTGCTGCACATTTAAGTTCCAGTTGCATTCCTTCATACCTGTTTGCCATCACAGCTTCCTCCTACCCCACATCATTTTATCCATCATCCTTTTGCCTGCCAAGTGTTCTGGTCTCCCATCCAAATCCTGCTTCACACACATCCTTGCTCCACTGCTGTTGGCATCTGCCACCAGCATTCAGAGGGACCCTCCAGCATCTCTCTACTTCTTGAAGCTGAATATATTGTTGGGATTCCACTCTTTTCTTGCTTGCCACCATTCTAAGATCACTGTCAACTTGTCCTGGGTAAGTCAACTTGGCTCTTTGAAGGGAACCTCAGGTGGCAGAAACTGTGGTGCAATATAAAATGCAGTGTTGGTCATTATCACACTCCATGGAACAGTTTCCTGTGAATTCCCACAGGCCTTCCCTGTAATGCATTTCAATGAACAGTATTTCCCCTATTGTTATACATATGATAGTGAAATGTCACAAACATCTGCATGATATCCTTCAACTGTGGTGCCCACATGTCCAATATGTTTGGGATGTATGGTGTGCCATTTTCACTGACCAGCAGGATGGTTTTAGGTTTCCCATTGCTCTTCCTCTGCCTTGACTGTGGAGCAGCATCTTTGTCTGGTGACTCAGCATCGGTGCCACCATTCCCAAATGCCATTTGTGCATACTTTACAAATTTATCCTGGCACTTGTCCAACTCCTCAAATAATTTTCCATTACCCAATTCATCATTGAAATCATATCTGGACAAGTTGGTCAATATCTGGCAGTACTCATCTGCACAAAGAACAAATTCCTCATGCTCCAACTATCACCTCTCCATTGGCATCTTCCCATGCTGCCATCACTACCACCCTGGCACCACACTGCTTCCACATTTCCTTAGCAAATTCCTCAGCATATTTACAGCCTTTCTTCTCTGTGGTTCTGTTTCTTGTGAGTGATGGGCAGCATTGCCAAATGGTACATACTCTGACTGAACATCCCAAGGTGGCTGCCGCTCATTCCATTCTTTTGCCAATGCCTTGGCCTCCTGTATCTCCTTGGCAGTAAGGGACTTCATGATGGTGTTGACAGCCTTCTGATAAGACTTGATCATTTCTGTGGATCCCTGCTTGATATTGGCTTCTTCCAACACTTTGTTGATTGATTTCTTGTGATGGTGCATGACCACCTTCCTCAGTGTCCAACTGCCACCATATTTGATCAGAGCCCATCGACTACAGCTCTGGCTGTGGTTGTACAACCAAGTCTGAATTGCCTGGAAATGGTAAGGACATGCCAGGTAATCAATGGCAGGTGTTGCACACCTTCTTCTTCCGAACCCATTCATGCATTTTCAGTGTCACATTTGCATCAAGGTTCTTTATCTTGTTTCTGAGGGTTAACATGATGGAGCTCCTCTTGTTTCAGTCAGCATTTTTCCATGACTCTAGCTCAGCCTCAAGAATCTCAATTTTGGCTAGCTGAATACTGGTTCCCTTTTGTAGCAGAGGTTTAGAATGATGGCTACATGCCAATGCCTATATATCCATGCTGGATGGCATGTGGATCTGCCCTGGCATTGGGTTGTGGCATGTTCATGGCCACCACACAGAATGCTTTGCACAACATGCTCCCAATTTCATTGTGGGTGCTGGCTGGGTGGATGGGGAGATCATGGTCACCTTGTGGTCCTCCCTGAATATCATTCCCCCATCTGCTAGAGGCATGGCTACTCCCCATCAGCATATCAGGAAGCAAAAAAATGGTTTAAACCTGTTTAAACCCATCACTGACTGGTCATGACTGCAATTCTGTCATTCCCCATTTCTCGGATGCAGGAGGTACTTGATTTCCAAATGAATGATAGCAATTTCCTGAAAATGGTCAGAATGCATCAGTCTAGTGCTTGTATCAGACATGGTTGCATGGCTAACAGGCTACAGCAATGAGACTCAAGCAGAAACCCAAGGTTGCTGAGGAATCTTATTTAGTGGTTGAAGGCAGGTTTTCTGATTTGAATGGTAATGTCCCACCAGCAATCAGCCAATCATGGGGGGAAGAAGCAGAAGTGGCATTGGAAAACCAGCTGTCAAGGCCACAGGCCATGGATATATATGAGGTCAGGCTGCAGAAAGGTAGGTAATGAAGGTTAACCTGGACAGGATTTGCACTGAGTGGTATTGAAGCTCCCTCTGCAAAGGCAATCAAGATAGATTTACTGGCCATCCCCCAGCCAGGGCATTCACAGGGTATGGTGACCTGGATTGCGAAGGCATTGAAGATAGAGGAAGCACAAATCCAGCTTACAGTGGCATGCTGGCACATCACCTCAAGAGCAACAGAAGCTCAAAATCTCACCATTGCACATCACCATGATTGTCTCCAGTCCCATATACACAGCATTTTCAACACTGCCAAAAAACTATTTGGGGACAGATTTGAGGATGCCAAGCTGTTCTGGTCATCTAACCCACATGATCCAGAAACCATTGCATTGCTGCTGCCATCCAATGTTGGCAAATATCATTTTGAAAGATCTGGCCTGGGGTATGTGACAATAATGGAGCTGCAACTGTGGCAAGGACAGGCCAATGATTGTCTTCATGAACTGTGGCTTGTGCTTGCAGAGAAGGCAGTCATCTTTCGAACTGACATTCACCATGGAAGTAATTACCACATGGCCACATACACCTGGGGAAGGGTGGCCAATGCTGAAGCAGCAGTGCAATGTCATGCCACTGTGTACTGCTGGTGCCACATTCAAATGGGCAGGTTAGGGGCCAGGCTGGATATCGTGGAGTGATACAAAGAGTTGAATGACTCTGACCTAACTATCAGCATGGCAGTATCTGACCCAAATGCCAGAGGTCACAGAGACAATACCCTACCTTGGATCTGGACAATGGATGTACCAAGGGATATGGCTGCTAATGATTGGATGTCAGAATGTGAGAGGAGCAATCACATGGCAGCAGCATCTGAGATTTACTTATCATTGTCTCTAGTCTACAGGGCCAATTGGCTCTGGATGAGGGCACTGTGGGACAGATGGAAGGAGGAGGTTCAGCTGTTGAAATGCAAGCAGGATTGGACTAAAAACTTCTTTGAAAACAAGGTAAGATTTTGGATTGGCAGACAGGCTGCCACATTGGCAAAGGGACAGGCTGGGCTGGCATGCTATGCTGCATGGCAATGCCAGATGTATGGCAGATTAGCATGTCTTCTGTGAACCATTTCCATCTAGAGACCACAAGCTATCTGCAATGACATCATTTTTGAGATCTCCCAAATGATGCCAGGGTTATGGATTGCATATTGGTTGGTGTAGTTGAATGTGAGCTGAGCATTTGCTGATGAGTGCTGCCTTAATGGCAGACACATGCCACCACACAAAGCTATGGGAAAGTTGGCCAATGCTTATATAGTATGACATCTCATCTTTCATGCTGGTAAGTCATGTCATCAAGGTTCACTGTGGCTGAACTCTCCATGGCCATACAGTACTTGGGAATAAGGTTTCATCACCTTGTCACTGCCATGAAGAAGCCAGATTGGTCTGAATACCAGCACACTAGTTGGTATCAACATTTCCTGGCAGAAGTGGTAAGCCACTGTTCCTGTGGTGGTGCAATGGTTGATAGTGGTACAGGGTACAATGGAGTGTCTGATGGGCATGGCATCTCGCCATCCCATTACCCTGATCATGCCACTCCCAGCTGACAGGCTGTTAATGTACCTGAACAATGGCAATTGGAGCCCCCATGACATTTTAGCTTTTATCAGAAGCTTGAATCCCCACCTGACTAGGATTAAGGAGTGCTGTGTCAAACTGGCCACTACCATGTCCCATGCATTGTGGCAGAATGACAGCAGCAAAGGGGAATTGGGATATGAGAGGAGACCTCTGCAGAACATAATTACAGAAGCCACGGAATTTTTTGCAGGAGTATTGGTAAGTGGCAGCACACCTTTGCTCACTTCCAACTCACCCATTGTATCAGAATTGCAGCATCTCACTACCACTGCTTATTAATTCACATCCATCACCCACTGCTGAATGTGCTGCACTACACACAATGTGCACAGAAGGCTTGAAGGATATTGATCAAGAGTTATTGTATCTTTCCAAGTTAATCTTACATTCACAGGAGTGGATGTCATCACTGGAAGCTGTTACCTGATCTAAACTTGCTTTACAGGTTGCATGGGTGGAGTTGGTGTCAAATGTGTGGGAATGAATATACAGCCTCTGTACATATTATCAACCATCTATAATGAGTTTACTTTGGGGATGGTAGCTTTACCTTATCAGAATCTATGCTGGTAAATGAATAGGGGCATTCCCTTGATCAATGGGTCTTTTGTGTACTCTTCTTCCTGCAGCCCCAATCATGTCAATGTCATTCTTGGGCTGGCAGTCTATAAAGCTATCCACCAGGTTCACAGTCAGAGATCCATGATGTGCCAGCACCATTGAATGATCTCTGGTATGGTGCTTGAAAACTGCCCATTCAAAGATGCCACTAGTGAAACCAGCTGGTCATCTGGACCTTGATTCATGTTGCTGGCAGTATTGGAAATGTGCAACCCCCATTTGGAATGTGTGGAAGGGGCTAATATCTTCTGTAATGTATACTGCAGCAGCATTCATGGTTGTTGAAGGTTGTGTTCTGGCTGGGCTGCATTCCAAAATGCCGATGAGGCTGTGTTCTCATTGCTGCAGAGAGCTTCTATGCTGCATTTAGTTCAATGTTACCACATTAGTCACTACCATTGCTGGCAACATTGGCCACACAATTGCCATGGCCAGAGGGATCTGTGCTGTCTGTATTCCTCCCATCTCTAGATGATATCCTCCTTGTTGCTGGTGGATTCCCTTAACTTCCCCAACCTGATCACATTAGAAATGTCTGGTACCAGCACATTCCCATGCAACTATCTACTTTCTGACCAGCTTGTAGAGTACATGTGCCACCAAGTTCTCCATGAGATGCATCCTTGCACTGCTGCTGTCCCACCACAACCTCTTGAACTCAAGATTCAGACATGTATTGTGCTCAATCAAATGGTGGCAACACTGGCCCAGGCCTATTGTAATCCCTGTATTCCATTTTAAGAGAGCTGCCACATGTCCTGCTAACATTTATTGCAGTTCCCTCTGGCATTGAATTAATCAGGCTGTTGGAAAGCTTATCACCTCAAGAAACAGGTTTCAATTTGAACCAGGAGGCCCACATCCTTTCCACTCACCTGCCATATCTGAGTGGGTATTTGGATGTTCCTGCAATCATTCTGGGTGAAGGGGATGCAATTGCTGTGTGGTATCTACCCAGTGCAATGTCACAATCAATGCAGGTAGGCATTGTGATGTATCCTGCTGTCCTCAGTTCACAACCCTATCAAGGACCAGATGATGGGAGCTATTCCCCCACTTGCCAATATGTTGACTCGAAGCATATCTGATGGTTCCTGGTGAACATCACCTGATTACTTTCCAGTGGATCACTGTTTGCTGGCAGGCTGCTTAGAGCTTTTGCTGGCCTGGCATCAACTTGGTCATGCCAGAGGGTTATCCTTGTGCTTCATCTCAAAATACTCATTGCTAATGTTGTAGACACTGGCATGCCAGCCTTCTGTATCTGCCAACCTTGCAGTTCTGGCCACTCAGCAATGGATCCATGCTGTCTAAATGCCATTGGCAATTCTCTCTGCTACACTTTCAATTATGCACCCTCCTTTGTACAATGCTGGTTGCCAAGCCAAGTGGCAGCTGACTGAGTTGTCTGCCATGAATGATCCTGAAATGTCAGCAGTCCTCTGACACTGGCCAATGGTTTACACCAACATCTCCATGATTGCTAACCAGTCAGCTCCCCTCCATCATGACCTGCAATCCCATGCTGACTGGTATGACATGCTCATTAGTGTCAGCAATTATTCTGAATGTGTTCTTGACATTCCCTCTCTTGGTCTTCAATTTGATTACTGGCCTGGCACTGTTGTAGCCTTTTCTGGCTGGCTTTTGCAGCATGGTGTGAATGATGTGAGTGGCAACCATTGCTCACTAGCATTTTACATGCAGGACAATATTCAAAAATGGCTTGGAGTCCCTCAAAGTGATTGGATGCATGTTCCATTGGTGTGGCAGGCTCTCACAGGCATGTAATGCACCCATGGCACCCTGTATTGTATTGTATTGGTCCTTATTTAATGCCCCAGGCATCCAGTATTTGATCAGCACAATCCCAGTTTGAATGAAATCTATGAAATCAATGCAATATTACTAGCCACTGTTCTGTGATCATGTCTTATACTGGTGGTAAGATATGCAGTATACTGACAATTCATGCTATGCTTCATGTCCATATCTATAGCACCCTAGCTGTGTGCTGCCATATACAGAACTATCTGTGCTGGATGCCATGTGCTGACACGAATCCTACTCAATCTGGATGTGTGCTGTGGTATGTTGGGTCAATGCCATCAGCTGTTGAGCACTGCTGGTTTATTCTTCTGCATCTAACCGTGTGCTGCTGTATGCAGAACCATCCATGCCACACATCAAACCTTGATGTGGATCCTAAGGCAGTCAGGTGTTTACCACTGTTTTCGATGCCCATGCTGCCAGCTGCTGCCTCTGAAGATTCCTATGCTAGCCCACAAGCTTTGGGTAGAGTATAATATCCCCATTTCCCCAGCTCCTTTCCATGAAACTGTTAACATCATTAAATAAAAGATTTCTGCAGGGATTTATGAACTATCTACTTTGTCCTATCACTGTCAAGAAGCACAGAACATCTCTGTGCCTTATCCATGACCTTCAACCTCTAAATACTGTGTGTTATGCTTAAAGCGAAGCAGAGGAGTGCAGGAGACTCCCCAGGGTGGATAGAAAAGGGTCTAGTTTGACCCAGAGGGGCTCTGAGCTTGGATCAGTGAAAAGAGGTGAAGGAGTGGATTTAAGTTGGGCAGAATGAATGGAGCAGTGAAGGGAGTGAGTAATGACATCTGGAGGTCATCTGGGAGTGCCTCAATGAGGGCTTGTCACAGTCTTTCATTTTCAGTCTTCAATTATCACTGTCTCACCATCTCACAGTCTGGGTACCTCCTCATGCAAGAGGGGGAAGATGGAAAATGCTACCTGCTAGGTTCAGATCAATAACCCTCAATGATCACAAACACCACTACAGCCAAGCAAAGCTCAAGCTAATTGGACTTTTCCATGCTTTGCACAATCTCAGACTTCATATCTTCAGCATGTGGAATTTAGTTGCTGAAGTGGATGTATGGTACATCAAAGGGATGATTAATGATCCCAACTTACAGCCTAACATGAGCATAAACTGTTGGATCACTGGAATTCTTCTGTTTGATTTCAAGCTTGTACACATTCCAGCACCACTTTTAGAGTCACTATCTGTGTGTGTTTTGTGAGTTCAAGAGTTCCCAGTGTCTAAGAGTGTCTATTGAGTCTACAGCATCTACAGTGTCCCCAGTGATCTTCATGTCTCCTGCATCCCCCAGTCCATTGCACCTTATCCCATGTCTCCTTCACCTCAGATACTCTCTTCTCATTGCATAATTGCTTCTTGAAATTTCATGCACCCACCTTGCTGTCTCTTGTGTGTCCATAACCCTTCAGAATTAGATTCCGCAACCCTTGCATGTATACCTCTCCCTTTCTAGTTTTATCCTCAACTTCTCCTTCCACTCAGCACCCCTTGGGGCAATCCTTGGGAATTCTCCCTACAGTCTTCCTCTAGCCACATGCTTCCCAGAAGTCATGTCCCACACCACAGTGGAAATTTTGGCAGTGGCTGTAGGCAAAAGGGTGGCAGACCTCAAAGGTATAAGGGTGGGTCATAAACATAAAGAGAGCACAGAGAGACAGTAGTCCTGGTCTCCTTGCAAATCACATAAGTCCTCAACCAATACTAAAAACCCTGTTCAGGTTGAGTCATGTGGCAATTCATTTTTTTTTGCATGAAAAAGTCTTCCTCATCTTTGGAATTTATGAATCATGGAAGGGGTTGTAGTCTATTGTGAGGATATGTCAGAATTAACACTTGTTTCCCGGAATTAGGGTTACAGATTTCTAGAGACTGTTCCCCATCTGGGAATCACAGAGGATGCTGATGAGTATGCAGAAGAGTTGACCAAGCAGTAAGTCAAAGGGTGCACAATCAATGACTTAGATTTGGAGATGAGCCTCAACATTCACTATGTGCAGGGAGGCATTCTGTAGGGCCCCAAGGGTGCTTTCTTTGGATTGGTTAGTGGCTTCAAGTGTCATGGTCATATCAGTTTGAAGAGGGCTCTCTAAGGCTTCCCACAATTCCCATCATAAGGCCACTACTTAGCATCTGCTATCCAGGATATATTTGATGTGAGGTTTGTCCATCAGGATACCATTGACAGCACACAATGGAGTTGTAGTGAGGCCCACACACTTCCCATCAGTGTCCCTGACCCAGTACTGATCATAGGATGCCCAGGCAGCTGAGGAAGTCACATCTGATGCCATTTCTAAACTCCCAATATTATCTTCTTTGTTGTGGCCAGCTCTCTGACTTACTTGCAAATCTCCAGGCTGACAGCTAGAAGATCTTTAGTGGTGGTTTCCACCTTCATGTCTAAGACCTGGTTTATGATCTGCTTGGTTGCTGCCACTTTGTCAAAGCTGCTTTGGCAATGGAATTGAGGTGTGGAATTTGGAGTGGGCTTATATTTTCAGAGATCTGTCAGGTTAGGGGAAACTGGAGTTTTTCTGACTGTTGGAGCTTCCAAAGAAGAAGCAGGATTGGCTGGAACAGAATTACCCACTGGGTTAGAGGCAGCTGGCACATTGGACAATGCAGGGACTGCTACTGGAGATCTTTGGCAATGATCCAGGATTTCTATGCCATTGAGACAAGCTGTCTTCTTCTTCTTGATGGTGTTCTTCAACTCTTCTACCTGCACATAGGCTCTTGCTAAGATGCATCAGTCCTCTTCATCAAGATTCTCCTCTGGATCTTTGTCAACTAGGTAGGAGGAATGGTGTAAGTCTACTTGAAATTCCAAGGCCTCTTTGTTACTGAAAAAATTGTGATGATGAGATGAGGAGGGGTATTGTGTCCACAAGATGAGGTTGATGGCTGGCTGGGATGCTGGACAGAGACAATGTTTGCTGAAGCAATGATTGAGTTGTGCATGGTGAGGAACTTGTCAATCTTGTCTTTAAAATTCCAACCTGCAGCTGTCCTAGGAATGTCAGAGCCATCTAGCATACAAACTTTTCCCCCAATCAGGGAGCATTTCCTGGCTTGGACATATCTGTGACACAGTGCACACTCTGCAGTAGGGTGGCCATCTGTTCTCCCACAGAAGCAACACTGCAGTTCAAAAGAATGGTGGAATTGACCTTCTTGACCTTGTTGAGGGAGTGAGGCAGAGACCAGCTGTTGAGCAACCTGGACATACTCCTGTTTCAAGATAGTCAGGACAGTCAACAAGGAAGGTGGTGCAGAATTCTGGAGAAACAGTGCTGAAGAGTCTGGCTGAGGGAGGTTCTGTTTGGCTCCACTGAGGAGATAGTTAGCATATTTGTAGACTGTATTGAATTCCCATGGTTCATTGATGTCATCTGGAACTGTGGGGGAAACCCCTCCAGGAATGTCTTGTTGATATAGTCCTCAGGGAGTTTCTTCTTCTGAATGAGGCCAAGGATGTGTCAGAATTCCTGGACATATGTCCCCAGATCTTCCAGTGACTCCATAGGCTTCTGAACCTGATGGCAGAGTAGGGTCTTGAGCTTGGCTTTGGTATAGCAACAATCTTTCACTGAGGCACCTGGGTAGTAGTTCAGGAGCTCTTTAGTGAACATGTCCCAGTTGTTGAAACCATCAGTCACAGCATCTAAGGTGGACCAAAATTCCACCTCATTGTGATCTGTGTAGCAAATGATCCAGTGGGTTTTTTCTTTTCCAGTAGTGAGGCCAGCCTTGAGGCAGAGTTGTTCTACATATGTCTTTGAGGTAACAAGTGATATCTTCAGTATGTCCAGAAAACCTCAGGGCTTTGTTGGAACCCCTGAGTGGCATATCTTTTGCTCCAGACATTACACAGAGTGGTATGGGGATCTGGTTCAGAATTTGGGGGATGGAAGGCACAGAATTTGAGAGAGATGAGGCAGGGGTATTCTCTATGGGTATTTGAGTGGGCAGGGTGATAACAGAATTTATGATTAAGAAGTGAGAAGGAAGGAGTAGCTGTTCAGTGGCCAGTTCTGAATCACTGGATGGTGAGGATGACAAAGAAGTTAGTTCTGAGAGAGGCAAAAGTTCTTGACACTCAGCAGGAGGATTGAAGGGTTCATCAAAATTGAAACCTCCTGGAAATGCTGGGTAAAATGCTGGGGACTCTGGGCTCTGAAAGATCTTGTCTAAACCAAGATCTGAGTCTGATGAGTGTGGCTCTGAAATGTCTCTGGGATCAGCTACCAGGATTAAGATCTCTGATGAAGAAATGGATAGTCTGCAGAAGGGTTCTAGGAGCTCTTTGAGTTTGGTTCTTTGACAAGTGGGTCATAAGGATCTCCTTCCCAGGTCTATAGACCCCTCATGGTAGGCCCCAAAATGATGTGAGACACAACTTCTAGAAAGTATGTGACTAGAGGAAGACTGTAGGGAGAATTCCCTAGGATTGTCCCAAGGGGTGCTGAATGGAAGGAGAAGTCAAGGATAATACTAGATGGGGTGGGGTATATGTGCAAGGATTGCAGAATTTAATTCCTGAGGGTTTCTGACACACAAGGAACAGTGAGAGGGGTATACAGAATTCTGGGAGGCAGTTATGCAATGCACAGAGTGTATCTGAGGTAGGGAGACACAAGTTAAGGTGTGATGGATTGGAGGATGCAGGTGACACTGTAGACACTGTAGACTCAATAGATGCTTTTAGACTCTTGGAATCCTTGAACTCACAAAACACACACAGATAGTGACTCCAAAAGTGGGTGGTATTTTTCCAACACTATGATGGAATTATATAGTACATGGGGTGTAGGTATGTATGAGTTGGAGTAAAATGGAGTGGAAAACCAAAAGACCAGAAAATAAAGGAAAGGATGTCAGACATTAGCAAAGTACAGATGCATGTGAAATAGTCTGGCAAGTGGTAAATGAGAGTAAAAGGAACAAAGGCAACAGGGGGTATCTTCCAACAGAACAAGGGTACATGTCAGATGAGAGGTGGAGCTGGTGGGAAGGCAGAACCACAGAAGGGAGGAACCTACAGGCATGAAGGATGACTTGCAGAATTTGGGGCAACAGGGGGAACTGGAGTTTTTCTAGAGATGACTGGCATGGATGACTGGTGATGTGGCTGGGCAATGGCTCAGTTGCAGAATACTGGATCAGCCTATTGATGACTTTGGGGCAAATGGAGAATTTTTCAGATCAGCTTATTGATGACTGGGCAACATGTTGGAGGTCTGGAGAAATCCCAGAGCTGAAAGGGGGTAGGACAAAACATGAAGCAATGAGCAGGGAGAATTCTGAAGGCATAGAGCAGTAGGGTCTTGTTGCAGAGGCAGCAGAATTTACTGACAGATTGCAGGTTCAGCCTCAGGGAGTATATGGTGCCCTACAGCAGTGCAGGCTCAGGTTGCATTCACTGCTAGCTCAAACATCATCACCAAGTAGGAGAACTCAGTGCTGGAGAAGAATTGTGCTGCTATGTTGAAACAGAGATCATGAAAAAACTTCCAAGAGATGAGGACCATCAACATGAGATTTCCCTTTCATCACCATTCCTTCACTACTGTCTAACCATGGTCCTCCCTCAAACTAGGCCTGCATGCTATGCCTGGGGCAGAAGAAATCATCATAGTGGGGTCTTTGGACCTGGCAGCAGTAGAAGGGGAGATAGTCATGTAACCTGACATGGTGGGATGATGGGGGAAGCAATGTTAACTTCCCTACACCACCTATGCTTGCCATTTGCATATTCTCATGGATACAATTATGTTACATTGCTCAATATCCATGCCAGTTTCATATTTGAATTTATTGGTCCAATCTGTTTCTTCCACCATAGGGATAACCTGATGTATTCCCCCCTGCATATTGTGGCATGAGCTGTTGTCATCTTGTGGAGCCTCATTTACTGAATGGTAGCATGAATGAATCTTGAGATTGGCAAGCCAACTACAAGTCAAAGTATCAATCACAGATGTTATCAATGTAATCTGCTAGCATTTACATATACAAGGTGTCCTCCTCACACTTGATGGCCTCATCATTGCTGTTTGAATCTTCAACCAGCTGAGATAATCTTGCACCACTGGCTTGATTCTCCAGAGCATGACTGCTCAAATTCTCAACCACCTGGGGTGAACTTTTCCCAGGCCTAGTGCTGAATCTTGCACTGCCTTGCATTGTACTCCAACCCCTTGAATACCTGAAAAGTCAGGGTGCTTTTTGATGCAGTCAAGGCAGCTGATATGAACAGCATTGACTGCTGTGCACAAGTGATATTGACATTGAAGCTCTTGTGTGAGCTGTCACAACCATGCATTTATCCTAGGTCCTCACTCACTCTGCATCCTCCTCTGCCAGTCATTCACTCATTCCACACCAATTCTGCTTGTCCTCTGTCAGTTACAAACCTTCTCCACTCCAACTGCTGTCAGACTTGCATTGGTCTACCACTGGACTGAGCAGACCATTCTCTAAGCAGTCATGTGACCTCCCTTTGGACTTCTCCTTGACAGTGTGCACACCACATGGTCCAGTGCCTGGACTGTTTCCTTTTTGAGTTGTTCAATGTTACCCATCATATGTTCTCTATCATCCCTTCATTTGTTGTCTTGAAAGTTTTTACTTGAAAATTTACAAGTCTCTGTATGTCAGTTCTGATTCTAGTTAGTGTACTGCTGTAGCAGTATAAAAGCATGTATTGTACCCCACTGTTCTTCAGTATGAATATCAATTTAGTTCCTACTCCCTCTGCCTCTGTCTTCTGCCTGTCAGCATTACCTCTGACTATCCATCTGTTTTCTCCCTCTGAAATATGAGGGCTGAGATCATGCAAGGGAGTAGCACATGAGCTAAACCCAACACCCTCACTCCACTCTGCCTCTGTCTTGGCAGACTTTGTCCCTGCTGACCCTCTGCCAGTCAGAGTTCTGTTCCTCTGTGTCAGACTAACTTCTGAATGCTCCCCAGACTCTGTCTAGTGTCAGAGTCAGTCAGAGTAGGCCCAAACCTGACATGAGCATTGGGTTTGACTGTTGAAGTTCATCAATGACCTTGGCCATGGAGATTGCTTTGTCATGCATTACAGTATGGAGTCAACAAACTTTGATGTTAAGATGGATGATCTCTTCTTCAGTGCAACACAGTTTGAGGTACTTGTGTGTTGCTTCCAAGTGAGTCAGTTTGGCCCAGTCACACTCAGAAATATTAAGGTGAGAGTTGTGGAGAAGATCAAGCTCATCAAGAAATGAGTACTCCACAATTTCCTTCCAGGTGATTGTAGGGTGATTAATCAGTGTGGCCTGTGCATTATATTGGGTGATTGCACTTCTGATGGCCTCGGAACATCTGTAAACCATTGCTAATCTGTTGGCAAAGTTTATATCCTATTTTCAACAGTAAGATTAAATCAATGATCACAGAAATTACACATACCTGTCCCAGACATGGAAAGTTTTGAAAGTTCAAATAAACAGTGTACAACAAGACACTCCAGGTCATCAAGGGCAGTGTGGTACTTTATGATCATAGCCTCCTCCTTGTATTGGTTGTAGCCCTCACCACCAACTTCACAACAGGGACATATTCCAATCTGCCCCTCAAAGTGAGAGGCAAGTGCTTCTGTGTTCTGCAGCTGTTTGTGTGCTGAGTCGAGTCTGACCTGCATTTTGGTGACAATGGTGTTAAGTTGGCCTAAGTTCCCCATGGGGACATCATTCAGCACACCATTTGCAGCCTCTCAAGCAGAAAGCCATGCCACTCTGATATCAAGTCAGCTTAATGTCATGGAAAAATGTTTGGACTTACTTTCAAGCCTCCAGCTCATCTAACACATCAACATACTTGATGCACAATTGATCCCAGATAGGCAGTTGTTTGGACAGTTCCAAGTAAGCATGTTCCTCAGTGTGAAATCATTGAAAGTCATCATTGGCAAGATTAAGGTGAGATTACAAAATTGTGAATTCCTCCTTTAGAATCTTTACAGCAACTGCTGCTTCTTGGTAGTGGTTGTAGATATATTGGCCTAGCATCCCAAGTCAATCAAGCAATGGTCAAAAGTGATGAAAGCTTACTCAATGTGGCATACTTGTCTTCATCCCAAAAGGTAAAATACTGTTTGATTGCTTGATGACAGTGGAACTCTGTGCTGTGGCAAGTACCTCAAGCAAGCTCATTGCTCATGGAAAATACATTTTCATAGCCCTCACCTTCAGTCAGTCCTTCTCCCTTGACATAAGTTGGATGCCAACCCAACTGACATTTACAGTTGTATTCATGCCCATGAAATGAACCAACCATGAAACAAAGATTCAGTGCTCTCACACAGACATTTAGGCTACTGTTCTCCAATGTCTTGGAAAATGCACAGCCAATGTCATACACACACACCTGACATTTGTGCCATACACAAGGTGCAAATTCCAATAATGTTTACCATATTTCATGACATTATAGTAAACATTAGTTTGAGTAACTTGAAAATAATGTGTATGACATAATAACAGAAATATCTTAAATCAAATCTGTGTAATGTTCACATCTTGTGTTGTGCAATATGCTTATGGAATCAAAATTTTCAGTCAAAGTATCTCCTGCATATGTGTCATTATTGGTTTAATATAATCACATAATTATGGGAGCAACATTATTTGAAAACTAGCCTTGCAATATTTGAACAGCAATTAGTCATATTGTTCAAATAATGTTTCCTGTATGTGATCACCACATACAGGAATTGGCATCTTGGATATTTCTGTTATTATGTCATACACATTATTTTCAAGTTATTCAAACTAATGTAGGGATCATCTAGGCTCTATCTCATACCAAGATGGGCTGCTGACCACAAAGAGAAAAAATATATACTAACCAATATTGTATTCCCCTCATGCTGAAACTTGTTGGCAGTGTCAATGTCAATCCAATAATCTGATCATGGACATCAGGTATCCAACCATGGGGTTGTGCCATAAACCATCAGATTCCATCGCTTCAAGCTGTTGTTGCCATCAATGGATACCAGCTACTCAAAGTCAAGTGGAGGCTCATCTTTCAGTTGGTAGCAACACACAGGGCATGCATTCAACAACCACCAATTGGCAGTGTCTTGGCCCATCACCTTCTTGAGCTGGCTGTCAATGGAGTGAAGAATCTCCAGGTAGACATCATACACAACACTCAGTTGCTTGGTAAGATAGGCATGTAAGATACCTAAAATACAGTGAGCCATAGTAAAAATGCACTATATACTGTAGGTACCTGATGTATATGACACAACATCTTGCAGAATGATTGAATACAGTACTGAGGGCAGGCATGATGTGCTTGATGGAAGAAAGCAAGGGCACAAATTGAGATGGCAACAGTAGGGTATAGAGGTGCATTACCCAGGTAGCCATGAAATATGAGAACTTCATTTGGGTATCAATGATGTGGCTTTGGATATGCTGTGCATTGCTGTTGAGCTATCTCTTATAAATATTGAGTGTACAGTCCATTGGGTTGACTCACTAAACATGCCTATGAGCTCAATATTGCATAACAAGAGGCCTGGCATGGGCATGGGCACAGGTGCAGGCATTATGTTAGGAGGCTCCTCAGAAGGTAAACCATCACCCAGGTCTTGTGAGCAGTATTGAAGATATGTGGCAACAAGTGCAGACATCTGAGCAGCCCATCTTGTGGTCTCAAGCTCAATATGATCATGGCGGTCCCAACTACAATCTATATAACTGGACATAGACCATCATTATGAACCTTCACAGCTTTGGAAAGGCCACAGATTTTGACAGCATGATTGCAGGACATGTGGCAGAACATGAGGGAAACACTGTGGCAAAGAATTTGCAACCAGGTTAGACAAACAGCAACAAGAGAATGAAAAACCTGCATTTCATGCTGTGAATGAGGGCAGACAGTTTGAGTGAGGAGCCAGTAGGTAAATGGACAGGCTATATGTCAACATCCATAGATAGATGGGTTTAGAACATGGCAGCAGAGGCAGACAAATGGAAAAAAACTTATGCTCAGTGCCATGCAAGTGAGCTAGAGGCTGGCCATGCTGCAGCTCATAAACAGAGAAACACAAGGGAAATGCACAGCAGCAGAGCTTGAACTTGGAATATCACAATGAACAAAGGAAATGGATAGATGGAAACCTACATTCAGAGTCATGGAACAGGATGGGCAGTCCATGAGAGGAGCTGGCAGATAAGCAGAGGAGCTAGTGGTCATCCACAGGGAGTAGGTCCTGAAGGCTATTTGTGTGGCTGAAAGGGATGGAAGGACTTGGCTTTGATGTCTGTAAAAGAAATAGTATATTGTGTTGGACTGGGAGGGAAGAAATTGGGTAGAATGCTAGCACTGGGCTTAAATCACCTGACCTAATTAGGCTCTTCTATCAGGAACTATAGGTAGGCACCACCATGGTCATGTGACCTCAGCACCACAATCCATAGTCATATGACAACCTATTGCATTGTCTCTGGAAGCTCAGTCATGTGACTAATGTCACAATTTTCTCTTTCCCTTTGCCCTCATACCATTTGGGAACTCTTGTTGATGATAGCCTGATGGAAACCCATCTGAATGCAATGTGACAGAAGGCACTCATACTGAGCTCACTTGGACAGACTCTTGATGAGTTGATGCTACAGGAGTCGAGATGCTCGTAGATAGACTGGCCGATCCCGAGCCAGCGGTCTTGCATTGGATGGTCGCAGACGGGGCGGACCTCTCGCGGAATGCGCCACGCTTGAGGACCCGTGCGCACAGGCCAGAGAGCGCCGGTTTTGAAGATGCAGCGAGGGTTGCTGGGCAGGCCGTAGAAGTCGGTGAATGCCCCAGGGTAGGGGTCGGAGAGAAGGGGCCGAGGGACGGCACCGTCCTGGGTGGGAATGTGAATATCGGGCGGCTGGCCGCATGCTCTCTGAGCAGCGATATCTATGCAAGAGGCGAAGAAGTTGTTGGCATCGGTGTTGGACCCTGCCACTGGAACAAGAGAGCAAAAACGAGTGGTAAGTACGTGTACGAGGAGATAGGGAAATCCCAAGGGACGCACTTGGGGGCAGAGCAGAGTTGACCGTGGGTCTTTTCATATGGAAAGCCAGAAACTCGCGCCACATAATTTTTGAACTTAGCATCGTACGCCCAAGCACTTGCTCTTAGTCCGGATACGTATCCAGCCTGTCTGACGGCTTGATTAGCAACTTGAGTGGCAAGCTGTCGATAGACAGTCGAGTAAATCGGCGTTTAGGCTGCGCGCCGGGCGGCGTCAAGTCACATAATGGCTCATATTGAGACATAAACGTATGTGCTCCCGGTCCCGGTCAATGTTGCCCTGCGCGCTGTCCGAGTCGGTGCCGTTGCGTGAGTCCCAGTCAATTCCGTTTGTCTGTGGAAGTGTAATCGAGGATGATCCCGCAGCTTGAATTCTCTCCCCATAATTTGAGGCCCATTTCCTTGCATATCCTCCGTCTGCCCCTCCACCATCCTCGTGTTACATACCCGTGCTTTGCATGGCCGCCGAGGAGCACCTCGCGGTGGCAATGACCGGTCTACTCTACCAGCGACGTGTATGGCACATCGATGACTCGTTGATTGGAATAGAATTCTCAACATATGCACGACCATTCGTCTGTACCTTGGATGACTAGAGGACGCCACTGCAGACTGTATCCTCGTGAGCACCTAGCGTTTGCCTGACTCCCCCAAAACTGACCTCGTGTTAAGCTACGCGTGATTCTCGGCAGCATCGAAACGTCTGCCACCCTAGATTTATTATCGCCGCTCGTATCTCTTGCGATCTCGCGGCTGCTCATGATTCTAGAAGCACCCATATATAGCGCCCATGATACGAGTAGGAATGTTGTGGGTACCATTGCCACGGTGACCGAAACCCACATGGCCCGTTCTTGGCGGATCGATTCGAACGTTCGGGAAGAAAATGCTGGTTTCCCTTCGAAGGTGAAGAACATGCGAGATAGGATTATGCAGTGGCAGGAGAGCCCGGAATATCCAGAATTTGTCCTCATTTTCATTCTCCCCCCTCTCCAACAGACTATTAGGGAAGTGCCACCACGAAGCCGCAAGCCTACCGCAATTCCACTCGTGCTAGAACGTCCATCCGTCCCGTGAGTGTCGTCTCATAGTGGTGTCCTTTTGTAATCATTGGCCACCCGGAAAAATCATTACACCCAATGAAGGCGGGGACATGGCAGGCCCACCCGTCAGTGAAATGTCTGACACCGTTCCAACTTTCCTTTCGCCACTGTCATGTTTCCGCTATGTATTTTCACGGGCCACCTTTCACCCTTGATGAGCATTTTATTGGGTAGGTTTGCGGACACCTTGGAGGCCACTGACAACAGGATATTTGGTTGGCTATTGGATCGACGAGTAGCGCCAACGTCTCCTGGATCTGATTTAGAGATCTCTCGTGAATACATGGCAATGACGAGCTTCATTTGACCGGAGACGTGAAACCACAGAGTGCGTCGTTGTATGTTGTGTATATCCATTTGTTCATCGTTACCTACAGGATGATCTACCACCCATTGATACTGCACTTGAGACATGCATCCAAGAATTAGTCACTAGTGTTTCTGCTCTCAGGTCCGAAAATGCAGTGAAATGTTTGCGTCTGGATGATCTTACGAGTGGCGGTATCCGCAGCGAAGTGGTCGAAGATTGCCCTAGTCAGATAACCAAATTGATTGTTACCTCAGCAGGTATTATTTTTCTTGGGTTTTGCCGTTTGATTTTTTCCGAAAGCTAGGGGTCATGGGTAACGAAGTAATGGGTCAGAGTCGTCTGCGTGGAGGACACAGGAGTTGACATATCCAGGTGGGATGACATCCTGTTTAATATTGAATGAGCCATCACGAATGGCTCCAGCAGTTGCACGGAAGCACTCAAGGTCGAGTGGGGTGAATTGCATTAAGGGCCTGGAGGTTTTGGCATGATAGTGATAACTGACTTGTGTTTTATACCCCCTTCCATCGGTCCTTAGGGGTGTGGAGATGTGTTGTGGGAGGTGCCATGTGATGGGCTTTTGTGGCTGCCCTTCTGTTGCAATTAGTTATTTTGTTGATAATGTCTAGTGCCTCATGACAGGCCAAGTGATTGCATGTGGATACTGCAAAGAGAGGCAGATCTTGGGATATGCTACTAGGATGATTTTGTGGTGTGAGGTCATTCACTGATGGGGCATTTAAGGCCTCTAGATACTGGGAGAAGGCCTCAAGGTGAGATACTTCATGAAGCAGGAGCCAAATGGGTGCAATGCCATTTTCCCATATGCAGGTCTACCAGTCAGTAAATTGATGATATACTGTGAAGAGTACTTACCTCAGCATCATGACAACTGCTACTCACTAGGAACTGAATGTGATGGCAGGAGGCAAGATAAAATCATGAGACCTAATAAACCTCACTGGCAAGGAGGTAAACTCAATTGTAATGATTACATAACTATTGACCTTATCTGATTGGTGATCCAGTGATGATTGCTGGTTGTGATGGTATGTCTTCTTGGTTGGGTCGAAACCTGCATTGGTGGGCAGAAACAATACCAATGGCAGAAGTGGATTGTATTGGCTAATGAGAGTAATATCAGGGAAGATACATTATTGGCTCTCTAATTCTGGATGTTGTTCCTGTTCTCATTTAGAAAAATGTATGTATATGAGTGACAACAAACAGAAATGTACATAGTTAGGGGGCACTACAAGTGGCTTCATGCATTGAAGGCCCTTTGTGCCTCTGGAGTTTGTTGAAAAGCAAGATGCTCAGCTGTGTGCATTTTCTCCCTACTTTTTTGTCCCATGTAGCTCACCACCACTGTCACTCCTTCATTACTATTGGCTCAATGCTTTCTGGTAAAGCAATGTCAGAGCCTTGCTGCCCCATTACACTCCTTGCAGACCTTCCTTCCCTTCCTGGCATCTATCTCAAATGTGATGTAGGGTAGCATCATGGCACCTGCCACTCAAAGACTCATGCATGTTCACCTCCCCACAGGACACACCCTTCTTGCACAAAGCTTTTCCTATCTGCCACCACTGCTCCAAGGCACATTTGGTGCAGCCAGGCATATCCAAGTAGGTTCCATGCTAGCACAGACATCTCACACTGACCACCATCATAAAGCTACATCACTTCTGCTGCACATCATCATCATCCTGTGCCATCCAGGTGCTTAATTGATGAGCCCAGTACCCTGCCACATGGCCAGTAGGCCTTTCAGCTGTCTGAGGTTGAGCAATTTCCTATGAAATATGTATAGGGAAAACTGTCCCAGATCTGTGGATGATGCTAGCATGGGACCAGCATTATCTTCAGATAGCTCCTGACTCAGAACAAATGTACATACAATGCCCATGAAATGCCACTTCAATGTGACTCAATCACACTTGTCTAATCTAACCTCTAACAACCATGTTCCCTTGTTACAGACTCCTCAAATCATAGGGCATCTGCTCCCCCTGTTATTCTACCCACTACCACTCTGCAGGATTCTGAATTCAATTGGGTGACTTCATCACTGGTATTGCCCTCATGTTGACATTTCCTCAAATCATAGGATGTCCACCCCCCTTGACAGTGTACCCACTACTGCTCTGTGGGATTCTGATGCCAATCAAGCAGCTGTGTCACCAGCATCTCCATCCAAGCCATCGTCATGGCCTCTCAAATGCACAAGGCTATCCAAAGTTGAAAGGAATGTGTTACCTTTTACAAGTTGAGCACATCTGGGTCATTGGACTTTCCCCCTAGTGCTCCTGAGGCATTTGAATATTGCCCTAAACCTGCAGATATATATGTCCATTGTGATGAGGCATGCAGTATAACACAAGTCTGGATTTGGTCTGGAGACCAGTGGACCAAAGCAGGGATAGGATACTTGCCATCCAACTCTACCTGGCAATCACTTGAAGCTGTTAGACAGTGGGGAGCCCTCCTGGGTTACCAGGAAGATGATGGTTACTGACCAGGGAAGGGCAAAGAGAAAGCATCAGGTTTGACTCATTTGATGCTGAAGATATCTTTTTAAAAAAAATAGCACTGTTACTACAACTACACAATATATTTTCTCACACAATGTTGATTGGCTTGTTGTGATTGAAATGGTGATCTCTTAGTTGATATGTAGGTCAGAACTTGGCAATTCTCAGTAGTGAATGCATGTAGCATACAGAAAACATAGTCTACATGTGGGAATGCAGTTAGCTTGTCACTTCTCTTCTGCACACTCCCACTTGCACCTCAAGGCTCAGCTGAGCCACACACTAGTCTCTCATTTTCTTTGCTCCCACCCACTGCTCCCTCTCACAGTCCATCCAAAGCAGCTGAGACAACAGCTCTGTGTCTGATGCCTTGAACTTGACATCCTGCTCAAAGCTGACCTGTTCAGCACCCAGCCCCCCCTCAGAGCTCAGCTTGACGACTCAGGTCTTGGTTTTGGGCCAGAAAACCTACCAGTTTTCACCCAGTCCCTTCAAGCAGTACCCTAGCAATATCATACTTCACCAAATACAATTAGATTCTCTCCCTTGAGCACCATACACTCTTTCCCCTAGCTAACTGGTTGAATGCATAGATTCTACTGTGTACATGAATTACACAAACAATTCTGCTTGCTGTCATATCCATGACTCTTGGACTCAATCCTGGTCCAGTCTGGACCCCTAGTCCCTATCTCTGGTCAAGCCTGGTCCTAGTCTGGCCTAGAAAACCCAACTCTGGCCCTAGATAACCCAACTCCAGCCTGAATAACTCAAGTCCAGTCTTTTACCCCTATGTCTAGTCCATTCCAGCCTCCTGGCCTTGTGCTGCTCCACCCTGGTCCTCCCAGGTCTATGTCCAGGTGACCCGGACATAACTCTGGTCTATTTTCCTTTGTTGTACTATATTTAGTCTGGTCCTTTTTGTCTGACTCTGCTTACTGTACAAATCCTGTGTTTGACTCTGGTTATGCCAGTCACCCAGACTTTGGCTATTAGCCTTGGCACAGCCACTGTGGCTGTCCTCACCTTGCTAATCATCTCACTAATAGCTTATTAACAAGTCTGGCTCTATGTTCATTACCCCAGACTGGCCTTGTGTATTTAACCCATGCACATACTTCATAGCACCTCAGTCAGAATATCAGTTTAGTATTACCCTCAACTGTGTATTACCCTGTGAGCCTACTCTGTAGCTAAGGCCAAACCTTAAGCTATCCCTGGCCCCTGTCCCAGACCTCTCCCCAGCTTGCATAAGGGTACAGCACATAAGCTGAGACCAAGGGGGGTGGATCTGACCCTGGACTGGCTTCCCCCTGTGCACACCCCAAGACCAGTCAGTTTCCCATGCTACTGGTCTTGTTCCTACACTCCCAGCCTTGAGTTTGGTCAGCCAGACTTAGCCCCTGTCACCTGGTCTTGAAGCCCAGTCACCTGAGGGTAAACCCATACTTAACACTTGCTGAAAGTTCCCACAGTGTGATATGACAACATAGATCTTGTCCAACATGTGTGCTCACTGTTGTGCACCTCCCATTTCACTGTGGTAGGCCTGTGTGTCCTGCCAAGCACTATTGGTCTCCTCCCTACTGTGTGTGCACTTGTTATACACATGTCATTCCATCTGGTGTATTTTCTGTGCTAATTATCCATTACTCACAGTTTATCAAGCACAGGCCCAAGGTATGCATGCCCCACAGGAGTAGAGTGGTAATGTGAAGCTCCCCTGGATTTGGTGGAAACCTGTGCTATAGAGTCCTGTCTGACACCAGAGACTGAATTCACAAGTGAAATTCCTCCAAAAATGGCAATCAATGGTGTCTACTTGTGCCTTGAAAGATTTGCTGCAGGTCAACAAAAACCATATGTTGCATCAATGAAGATACAGTGGGAAGTCAAAGTCGAAGGCCTTGTCTTCAAGGAGCCTTTCTGGCAGAGGGTGATTGATCAAAGACCCCATCTATGAGTCAGCAGGTCCTGCACTGGGGTGCAGGAGTTTTCTTGCCATCAGATGTGGAGACATCAACTGGTTCATCCATATTTACATCTTCACCTAATTTCTGTCTAACATCTGTCCTATTTGTCAAAGCCCCTGCCCACAAGCCAGTGAGTCCTTTCTTCCAACAAAACATAGGAGGACTGAAACTAGGTGAAGCAGCAGCCTTCGATTTTTGGACTTGTCTGCAGGTCACACTGGACATCGACATGGCACCAGGTCAAGTAGCAATGACACTGTATGACACAAACTCCCCCACATGATGAGATTGTAACTTCAAGGGCAAGTGGGTGGCCTTCTGACCCCTTGCCAACAATGGTGGAGAAGGTCCTGCCAATTTTTTCTTCCTCAGATACAGGCAGAGTCCTTTGGGTGCAGGTCATATCACCTGCCAGCCCTGGGTGTAGCCCAAGTTCTCCCAATGCATACATTGTCTTATGTCCCTCAATCTCCACACAGTGGGAGCAACCTCACCATTTGGCATGTCAGCATATATGACCTCCTCATTCTACAACAGAAGCTAAGGGGACACATCACCAACATACTCCCTGTCATCACCTGCTCTCAATCTCATATCTCCTGGCTATCCAATGTCTAGTCCATGGTACAGTCCACAATTGCCTTCCTTCAGCCCCACATCTTTACAGTACTCACCAATTAGCCCATCCTTCATCTCCAAGATGTAAGCCATATTTGTCTGTCAGTGAATGGGTCACTGACTTCATGCCAGATTCACCTAGTATGACCTTTTATTTTTCCCATTCACTCTACTGATCATTCCTTTTCTCATGCCCTCCTTCCTCCAGCTTGTACATAATTTAATTCAGTTATATAGTTACATCACTCACAGCTCTGCAGCCCCTGTGCAAATGTCACCCTTGTCTTCAAAATACTCACCCACATCACTGGTGTTGCCTTCCTCACCCAAATTTTCCAAATTTTCCAACCTATTCTCCAGGCAGTGAGTTCTTGATGATGTTGACCTCAGTTCTGCCAGTATTGACTGCCAATTATTTTACAGCTATGCAATCTTATACCAAAACTGATGAGGCTGTGGGCCATGCAGTGAGTCTGCCATTCAATACTATGGATACTCCAGATTGGTTGATGTCTCATATAAAAACTAGTAAATACTCAGCATCTCAAGGCATTCAGGCTTTTGGACTCTCATTTTTCAGCATTTCCTCAGCTTCTGAATACCTTCCTTGCATCCCTTGAATGATGGCCTCATTGACACCCCAGCCTTTGCTGTTACCTCCAGGTCCACTTTCCATGTGCTTGCAACACCCTACAGAGACTAGCCAATCCCTCTCATACTGACTTGTCAAAGCTGGTTGAGGCTTCCCTGGAATGTACAGTGGCTCAAAAAACTAGTCCACATGTTTGTATGTTTTACATTAGTTATGACTAAATGCAATAACCCCTAACCCTAGCCCTAAACCATGAGTGTATGAAATAAGGTACTTACTCTTGGCTTTCTATTGGTCCATGAATCAAGTGATTTGGATAGGAATTGATAGAATAGCAGCCATTTGAAAATGACATGTCATGCAGACAGTTTTTTGACTTAAAGTTTTGATTACATAGTTTTGAGTTTAACAAAGTTTAAAATGCTGTGAGGTGCTTACTAATGCTTACATGGTATATCACATGGTCTATTTGATGATTTGTCATCATACAAACAATGCCAAACAATGAATTGGGACCATCAAGGCTTCCCTCTTCTACCCCAACTCATGAAACCATCTTCCTGGTCCATCTGGGCCATTTTCTCAGAGTAATCCTCATAAATATTGGTGCCCACTACAGTAATGTCATCAGACACAATCAAACCCCTAAAAAATCTGCTTTCAGTCATCCCTGTGCTGTTTCCCCCACCCATACCTGACATGTTCTGCAACTAATCAGTACTGAAAATGCTGAAAAAGCCATGATGGTTAATCTGGCACTGTAAAACATGACCAACAATCCCAATCACCTCTTATCTGGTGGGTTTCCACCTCAGGGGTGCTGGGTTGAGGGCTAGGGTGGACTAAAACTCTTCATCACAGTCCAGGTGCCCTGGGGGGGTTAGTTCACTGAACTATTAGGAGGGAGATTCCATCACTCCATCTAGCCCTGAGTATTACCTGTGGTCTTATATAACCAAATCACCAATTCTCAGTCATCCACAGTCAGCTGAGAGCACAGTCTAGCCATGCTTCCCATGCCACCTGAAGTGCACAGGAATGTTTTGTCTCACCCCAGCATTGAAACTAGTTGCACTGTGGTGAAAATGCACTGGTTAAAAGGTGTTTTGTTTGTTCATCATTTCCTGATGTGCTGGATTGACCTCCATGGCATTTCCAGCATTCTCAGTACTGATTAGTTGCAGAACATGTCAGGTATGGGTGGGGGAAACAGCACAGGGATGACTGAAAGCAGATTTTTTAGGGGTTTGATTGTGTCTGATGACATTACTGTAGTGGGCACCAATATTTATGAGGATTACTCTGAGAAAATGGCCCAGATGGATCAGGAAGATGGTTTCATGAGTTGGGGTAGAAGAGGGAGCCTTGATGGTCCCAATTCATTGTTTGGCATTGTTTGTATGATGACAAATCATCAAATAGACCATGTGATATACCATGTAAGCATTAGTAAGCACCTCACAGCATTTTGAACTTTGTTAAACTCAAAACTATGTAATCAAAACTTTAAGTCAAAAAACTGTCTGCATGACATGTCATTTTCAAATGGCTGCTATTCTATCAATTCCTATCCAAATCACTTGATTCATGGACCAATAGAAAGCAAAAAGGTAAATAACTTATTTCATACACTCATGGCTTAGGGCTATGGTTAGGGGTTATTGTGTTTAGTCATAACTAATGTAAAACATACAAACATATGGACAGTTTTTTGAGCCACTGTATTGATTGAGAGGAAATAATGCAATGAATCTGGGGTGAGAGCCTTGTCAACAAGGACCACTTCATCCTCTGAGCTATCTGTGAGGATAAGTCCACAGGAATATGCATATTTGGCTGCAGTTGAATATAACTTAAGGGCTATTTCTGCAATGCAGGTGTAAAGCTTTGAACCAATAAGTTGTCCAGCTAGATAACATGAACTGTAATACTGCATGGCAAGGTATCACAAGGTACACACCCCTATCCAGAAAGGCATTCTCATCATGAGTGCCTTGTTCTGCTTTCATCAATGAGGTTACCAATGGTTGGTGTAGCTGCTGGGACTTGACCATTCCCTGTGGAAGAGGCATTCTGTGCATAGTTCCAGTTCTCTTGTACTCTACCCATGCAGGTCCTGGCAGTCTCAAAAAAGTCAAAAACAGTCAAATCCAAGAATCATGGAACCTCACCAGTGAGGTACCCTTGAACTATAAACTCAATGGGTATGACTTTAGCCTTCTTCACATGCATGGAGCAACCATCCAGTTGATCCTTGTGTTTTCACTTCCTTGGGCATCTTGTCTGTATTGGCCATCGTGTGATGATCTGGAACAACACCCTTTAGTTTCTCAAACCAGAATAGTGATATTCTTGTTAATATCTTCCCTTTGTCAGGATCACCCTATATGAGCATTGTAAGGATAACAACAACCAGTAATTTAAACCACACACATCCTTCAAGATACCATTGAATACCAATATCCTACCAGTTGTGATGAAGAGCAAGAGATCTTCTGAGGAAGTGTGGTAAACATCATGCTCTTTTTCCCTCAGTATAAGAGTGAGGTCTTGTAGATTAGTCATCAGCAGTGTGGAAGCCATTGGTTGAACAGGGGACAATCAGGGGAAAACTTAAGAAGCCTTGAGGGTGGTATCAGAACAAAGTCATATCATGGTGAACTACATTGTGGGAACCAATGCAATGGCCCATCAGCCATTATATTATGGGTGTCCATAATATATGTGTTGCAAAATTCTACAACATATCTATCTTTTGGCCCAATCCTCATTGATCATCAGTAACGTTCATGCACTGAGAGTGAGCCTATTCACATCTTTGATCAGAGGAAAATTGGGGACACACATCATGTCACCTCCTTTTGTAACATGTTCAAATGAATACTCCTGATGAAGAAATTTGTAGGTGACTGAGTGTGAACTGCCATCATCACTGACATCAACAGCGTGTGCTGCTGTCCATTTCAACCTGATGTCATTGCAAGTCACTCATCATCATTCAAGTAGGAGTGTGAAATGATCCCCAATAAGTCAGCCCCACCCCATAAGAGCAATGTTTCCCAATCTAGTTGGCCCAGCTATTCCAGTCCAGCAACAACTCAGGAGACAAAACAACTTTCAGACCTGGACCAGGATGCATCCAGGAATACCAAAGCCCTCCAGGCACTTCTGGTGAAAAATATGTGATTATGAAATACAAACAGAACATTCTTAATGGATGGTCAAAAGTCTATTGGGTGCTTGTACTTCTGGAAGAGTGTTAGTTGAAAAGGGTCTGTTTAAGTAATGCTCAAGGTGAATCAGGAGAAAAGGGTGCCAACAGGAAAAAATTAGCACTTTCAGGAACATGCAAATGTTCCAAATCACTTAAAGCTGAAATACTGGAGGAAGGGCAAGCCAGCTGACTTTCAGAATCACTCTTGTTGAGGTATTGAGCATTTTTCCTGAGCCAAGATGGGGACAGGAGGATGGATGAGGATCTGGTCAAATGTGTGAGGAGACTTTCCACAGATGGTGGAGATGCAGTAAGCTGAGATGGATTGACAAATTCATACTTGGGGTAGTTGAGTATACCACACAGGAGCAGATGATGCCCTGCACAGTGGGGGGGATACTGATGTTAGTGGTGTGCTTCCTCTACTATAGCAGTGCTAGGAAGTGCCTCAGTCGAGTGAGATATAATGATTTGTGAAGAATCTGCGAGAATGTTTTGAACTACCAGAAAGATTCCACAAATCTGTGGCAAGGCTTTATGGGATTTCCTGAAAATTGAGAGGAAATGACTGGCAGATGGGCAGTTGCAGTAGAATCAGGTGTGGATTCTGGAAGTGGAGGTGCAAAGAAGGAATCCTGATGGCAAGCAGAGTTCCTCATTAAGGGGTTTGACCCTGGAAGTGAACAAGATGAAGGTAGTGTGATGGAGAACCTGTCTGTGTTGATGCACTTGGTGGCACAGCAACATATATTGATGCTACAGGAATGCAGGCAGGTGCTTGTGGAAATGCAAGGTATGAATCTGACTCTTGGGTCGCAGTCCTAGTCAGGAAAGAGGAAGGACAGTGGCAACAGAAAGATGGATAGAGGTCCTAGAAAAATTCTTCAACCAGAATAGAGACTTGGTGCAGGAAATGATCAGCACTGACTGGGTGGTATATTTGAGAGGATCCTTGCTGCAAGCGGTGTCAGGGAGTTTACTTCTACAGTCCAAGGTCATATAAACTCATAATTGATGGCACCACCCTCACTGACTCCAGTGACATCAACATATGAGTGGCACATGCCACTGTCCATGATATTATGCACACACCCAACCATGTGCTTTTAAGTAGTCTGCACAATGTTCATAGTGTGATAAGTGGAAAACCCCAACCCAATATGCCAACCCCAAAGGCACCCCATGGTATGATCAGAGGTTACAAAGAGTTTATGGACCTGGCCTGATGGCATCCAAGGAATATATGTAGTGAGTGGTAGAGGTATATTTGTTTTAGCAGCCTCCACAATCCAGTGATCAATGTATCTCAAATTGTTAACTTGGGAATTGGAATTGCCAGGAATTGGTGGCTGGCACTGCTAAATGAGAAAGCACCCAGTATATTACAAAGAGCTGGAACAGGATAGTAACAAAAATCATTAACAAAGGCATCTCTAACAATGGTAACTCTACTTGATCTTGTTCAATCCCTTCACCATGTCCAATACATCATTGAGGGCCTTGTGAATGGCTGTACTCCCTGTAGCAGAGGAAGCTCAGACATTGGCATCAATGAAAGAAAGGAGACATGCACTGGTGTGGCAGTGTCTACAATGAATCTGCAAGTGCCAGGATTGAGTGACAGACTCTGTCAGCCAGTGGTTGGTAGCATGCATTTTATCAGAGCAAAAATGGGTTGAAACTTCCAATAACAATAGAAGTGTTCCCTGGCTCAGAGACTGGAGGTCTTCCAGCTTCTGTAGCATGGCAAGTCTCGCTTGAAGTGGTCCTGAGCCTCCTCTGACCTGCTATCCATGGAGCGCTAGTGGAAGATGCAAGGGACTGTTCTAGTTGCTTTGGGGACATCAAGGATGGTACATTATCTGGTGCCTAGCAAATGGTCAGTGGTCATCCCCAGAGGGGATCAAACCCAATATAACATACAGGGGACAAAGGACCAGAAGAATGTGCCAGGTGCTGTGGTGGCAGAATTGGGCACAAAAAGCCTTCTAGCTGCTGGCAGGAACTCATTAGTGACAGGCAGCCTTGCTGACTTCTCAGGAAAAATTCACTTATGACAGGACCTTGAGTGGTATGGGAGTGACCTCCTGGATGCTGCAGTGGCAGAGAAAAGCACAAAGGGGATTCTAGTTTCTGTCATGGACTTGTCAATTACAGGCAGCCACCTTCAAGGTTCCTGAGACTTACAGAAGGCTTGTGAACAGGACCAGGAGAATTCCTCACAGTAGAGAGCATTAGGTGCTGGAAACCTTCTAGCTTCTGCTAAGGATTCATCAATGATCAGCAGTCCTCTCTGAGTTTGGCTTACAGCATAAGAATGGGTGGCGCCATCAGAGCACTGCAATGGTACAAAAGAGTGGATCATTGGAAGTCAAATAGTCACTGTGAAACAGTATCTTGACCTACAACATGGAGTGTTCTCAAAGGAGGAGATCTGGAACCCCTGAGCCCCTGCTGTGATGACATGTAAGACCAATATGCTCCCTGCCTGCAGTGGGGCCCTGGACAGAAATTGTAAGGTGAGCAATGAACAACTCCAGACCTATGCAGTGGGGAGGTAGAATCCATTGGGAGATAGAAGATGCAGCTGAGGCATGGTGCACATCTACACACTTTTATACTGTTGAGCCAGGAGAAACAAAGCAGGTTACCTTAGTCATTTCACACAAAGAGACTGCCAGTGACAACACATGCATGATGATACTGCCATACTGCATGGCATTCATCACTCAACTCCACTCAAGCATCCATTGGACAAGCCTTTGGTCTACATAAAGAGTGGGTAGTAAGGCTGGCAACAGTAGACATAAGCAGGCACTGGGAGTGGGATAATGAACACACACAAAGAATATGGCTGTGAGCACCCACCATACATCATGACACTGCACCAAACAGAAAGCAACATGACTGCATTGCTTTCTTATCAGGAGTGTACCCGCAATCCTCATTTGAGCATCAACAGGCCAGGCCCCTCAACTTTATCAGATTCCAAGTGTGTCTGGTTTCAACACAAACCTGTGATTTATTCCCATATTGGGAGTCCTTTGCTGAGGGCAGTGGTAATGGTCTTTTGAGTCCTTTGATCAGGGCAGTGGGAAGCTGGCTGGTGGGTGTTGATGAGATATCTGGTGTAGTGGCCACCACCAAGTATTTTCTCCCCATTCATTCTTTCAGATACTCGTCAAATGCCACCTCTACTACGTGAGCTGTGTTCAGATGAGTTTTCCATGAAAAAATTGCTGCCACATCCTTGCCCAACAGTACTGACCTTAGAATTGAAATATCTCATGAACCAGACTAGCTAGAATCTTTATTTCTTCAGATTTGGACTCCCTGGAATTGATTGCAGGGCACCACAGTAAAAAACTCCAACTTCTACCATTCTGTTCCTGTGCTCAAAAATCACCCCTCCTGGACCTCAGAATCAAAGTATCTCATGAACCAGAGGAGGTAGTGTCTTAATTCCTTCAGATTTGGACTCCCCAGACTCGGCCGCAGGGCACCATTTCAAAGATTTCTAGTCTTCTCCATTCCATTCCTGTGTTCAAGAATCATGCCCTTCTCGACCTCAGAATTGAAATACCTTGTGAACCAGAGCAGTTATTGTCTTAGTTCCTTCAGATTTGGACTCCCTGGAGTCGACTGCAGGGTACCCTAGCAAAATTTCCAACATTTGCTGTCCCATTCCTGTGCTCAAAAATCACCCCCTTCTGGATGGTGCAATCGCATTTGCTCATGACAGAACGTGTTTCTTGAGTTGAAGTTCAGATGAGCGAGGATGATGTATGGTGCTGGAGGGCAGAGAAGTGGTCCAGTAAAGATAATTATGGTATTCTTCACTGTAACTTGTATTTGCATGTTCTGACACAGGCAAGTCACTTCCTAATGGCTTCCCCACAAGTTGTGTCACCTGCCTTGCAGTGCACACACACACTCATGTTACTTGGCTATGATATGACAAGACTGTGACTATGAGGGTGGATTTACTTGCTGCATGGCTTTGACCATTGCAAGAATGTTCATTTCATTCAGGGTGTGGACCAACTGGTATGAGGGCATCATGTATGCTCGTTCAACCTGTGGATTTATCTGCATACTAGTATCTTGAGTCAAATGCCTTCATCATCTACCACAAACTACAATCCTAGTCTTGGTTACACAAAATCCCACACTCATTTTATTTCCCTGCTTAACACACTCTATGGCGAGCAAGGGGGGGAAGAAAGCAAAGGAAGCTCAAAAATGGCCAGCTGCTAATCCAGATATCCCTCAATGAACCAGTCAATGACAAAGATGCATGGTTCTAAATAACAAAACAAACCTGTATTTCTAAGCATGGCTCAAGATGCTCTCTCGAGCCTTCTGTTCGGAACATTTAATGTGACCCACATAGCTCATGTGCACAATAGTCCACCCAAGGTAATCAAATGCATATGCAATTGCACTGTCTGGAAGGGGGGGATTTTGAGCATGGGAATGGCATGGCAAATGTTGGAAATTTTGCTAGGGTGCCCTGCAGTCGACTCCAGGGAGTCCAAATCTGAAGGAACTAAGGCAATAACTGCTCTGGTTTACATGGTATTTCAGTTCTGAGGTCAAGGAGGGCATGGTTTTTGAGCACAGGAACAGAATGGAGAAAACTAGAAATCTTTGATATGGTGCCCTGCGGTCGAGTCTGGGGAGTCCAAATTTGAAGGAATTAAGACACCACCTGCTCTGGTTCACAAGATATTTTGAGTCTGAGGTCCAGGAGGGGTGATTTTTGAGCACAGGAACAGAATGGTAGAAGTTGGAATTTTTTACTATGGTGCCCTGCAGTCAATTCCAGGGAGTGCAAATCTGAAGAAATTAAGATGCTAGCTGGTCTGGTTCACAAGATATTTCAATTCTAAGGTCAATACTGTTGGGCACTTCATATTGTGCAATATCAGTGACATAACTTTTGCAGCCAATGCCATCTCAGCCCCAGCACTGGCATCAGCAATTGTCATTGCCTTATACACACATGTTGGTGAGTTTGTCTCCCTCTGTTCCCTTCTTGAAGCTTTCATTGTTCTTGCCTGATGGTTGTACTACAATATCACAAAATGGGCTGGTTGTATTGCTTAGTTCTGTTTCATCAGAGCAATCAATGGTTGACCAGCCATCACCATCTACTCCCACCAACATGCCCTCTTCCTCACACTTGCAAGCACAGTTGCACTGGGATGGCACAATACTGCCTACTGTGCAAACTGATGGCTACTCCCCATTAATCAGTGTTCCTCCAGCACTGAAACACACCATGTCCAGTTTGTGTCCTACAAAATTACAGTTGTTGACAAACAGAAACAATGTGAGTATTAACACACTGTGGGATGTCAAAGACAAGGTGGATATACAGGGGATGTGGATGGGCACATGCTGACAGATATGCTTGAGGAGCCAATGCAGAGTCTTATATTGGGGAAGAAGACACATTGAGAGGTCAAAAGCTGTGTGGACTTTTAGAAGACAAATGAAGAGATGAAAGAAGAATGGTACTGTTCCCTGCTCCTTTGTGTTTTACTAGTGACCTGTCTTTTATATGTAGCCTCTCCTTCCTACCAACATAACTACCACATACTACATGGATGAAATGTTCATCAGCAATGACATAGCCATCTATCATATCACATGCACCTCTCCCATCTTGCTGGAGTGGTGCACACTTTGATGACACTGCTGATGGCTACTGAAGAGGTGTGACCAGCATGGTGTTTATTATTCTGTGAGGTCACAATTTTGAAACCCAAAACCAATTATGCACATGTACAACTGATGGCTTACAACTTCAAAGATCTACAGTGAGGGACAAAAGTGATGCAATGTTTGTGAGGTGTGATTTGCTGCCAATGTAGCTCAGGCTATTCTGCATGGATAATCATGATACCTATACCATTGGAAAGGGGTGCCTCTAAGCTTTCCAGAGCACTAGTGTTCAGTCCAAAAAAAGCAATACATGCTGAGATACACCTTATTCTTTCTGAAAAGTGCATTGCAACACTTTTGTCCCTGACTGGTGGAATAGTGAAAAGTGACCTTTTGATGGGATTGAGGGCATGAAGGATCAGAAAATATGATTACATAATAAACCATGTGATCTTCCAGATGATTTGTCAGCATGTAAATAATGACAATGACAAACATTGGACTTGTACCATTAACCCTCCCTCTCTTACCACAACTCATGAAATCATCTCTCTAGCTCACATGGTCATTTTGTCAAGGAATTCTTATCAAATACTGGTGGCCACCACAGTGCCATCAGTATAACATGCTCTCAGAACCATCAGTCCCTTAAAAAACCTGCTTTCAGTCATTCCCTGGACTGTTTCCTCCCCATGCCTGATGTGTTCTGGGACTAATCAGTACTTGGAAGGCTGAGAATGTTTTGGAGGTCAATCTGGCACTTCAGAACATGATGGACACACTAGCACCCTCTCAACCAATGCATTTCTGGCACCAGAACATTGGTATGGAAGTTGGGGTGAGACAAAACCTCCTTGTGCTCTGAGCACCATAAGAGGGTTCGCTATATCTTGCTCTGATCTGAACTGTAGATGATTGGGGAAGGATTATTTGGTCATATGTGGCCAAAGGCAATATTCAGGGCCAGATGGAAGCACAGGATTCTGCTCCATGGCAGTTCAGTAGCATATCCTTCTGATGACACCCAGGGGTAAAGAGGATTTTGTCTTGCCCTAACTTCCATACCCCTGTCCCTGTGCTAGAAATGCATTGGTTGAGAGGGTGCTAGTGTGTCCATCATGTTCTGAAGTGCCAGATTGACCTCCAAAACATTCTCAGCCTTCCAAGTACTGATTAGTCCCAGAACACATCAGGCATGGGGAGGAAACAGTCCAGGGAATGACTGAAAGCAGGTTTTTTAAGGGACTGATGGTTCTGAGAGCATGTTATACTGATGGCACTGTGGTGGCCACCAGTATTTGATAAGAATTCCTTGACAAAATGACCATGTGAGCTAGAGAGATGATTTCATGAGTTGTGGTAAGAGAGGGAGGGTTAATGGTACAAGTCCAATGTTTGTCATTGTCATTATTTACATGCTGACAAATCATCTGGAAGATCACATGGTTTATTATGTAATCATATTTTCTGATCCTTCATGCCCTCAATCCCATCAAAAGGTCACTTTTCACTATTCCACCAGTCAGGGACAAAAGTGTTGCAATGCACTTTTCAGAAAGAATAAGGTGTATCTCAGCATGTATTGCTTTTTTTGGACTGAACACTAGTGCTCTGGAAAGCTTAGAGGCACCCCTTTCCAATGGTATAGGTATCATGATTATCCATGCAGAATAGCCTGAGCTACATTGGCAGCAAATCACACCTCACAAACATTGCATCACTTTTGTCCATCACTGTACCATGAATCTGTCAACACTTGGCACCCTGTTTGGTATGTGTTGGCTCCCAACTAGCAAAGCTTCAGAGTTCCTTTATCTGAAGTTCATAGTTTGAATCAACAATTGATAATCATCCCATCAGGCCAAGGAACAGCCACATGCAGATATCACCAACCTAGAGACAAAGGCCTCAAGGTACCACCATGCTAAACATGTGGTTGGGTGAAATAGCCCTATCAAGGACATCATGGTGGTAGGAGTGTACCCACAATCCTCTTTTGAGCATCAACAGGCCAGGCCCCTTGACTTTATCAGATTCCAGGTGTGTCTGGTTTTGACACAAACCTGTGATATATTCCCACATTTTGAGTCCTTTGCTGAGGACAGTGGTAACAGCCTTTCTAGTTCTTTGTTCTGGACAGTGGGAAGCTGGCCAGCCAGTGTTGATGAGATATCCAGCATGATTTTAGTCACCAGGTGTGTTCATCTACCATTTTCTTTCAGAAGCTGTACTTGTTGATGTGGATGCAGTTGGATGCAATGATCATATTCTTCATCTCACTAGCAGCACTGAGGGTTTATGTTCATATTGCATTCACACCCAGCTCTGATCTGCATTTATGTTCAAGCCCTCAGGACTATTTGTAATTGGCAGAATTGGAGGCTAGTCACTGTCACAAATGAGGTGCTGGAAAGTGCCTTCATGAGAAGACATGGTTAGGGAAGTTACACTGGGAGACTGAGAGGCTTCCAGATCTGCATAATAAATACAATTTGATAGGCACACCATGGCCATTGAGAGCTATATTTCGCAACTATCAGTATATATGTAACTGGTGGGCAAGAGGTGAGATACAGATGACTACTATAGTACATGGCATGCAGGAGGAAGTTCCAAATGCCCATTGGCATCTCTAGCCATGCAGAGCTACTCCACTTCAGTGGTTCGACAAGTGTGACACTGATAAGAAATGTGTCTGAAAATTTGACAATCACAAAGCTAGGCACATTGGACAATTCATCAAGGATCCTTCCCTGTCCATGTTGGGGATCTCCTTCAGCCTTTTACCAAGAGCATACCCTTCTTGCCCACTCTGATGGAGCAGCACCATTTCTTATTACTTATGTCAGATGGATATCATGGAGGGCTTCTGACCCAATGACCTTGTGGACTTGTATCACCAGCTGTGCTCTGAGTCATCTCAGGTTCATGGAATTATTGGTTGTGGTACACTAGGTAATCTTCCATCCAATCATGAGCAGCTGTGCAGGCCTGTTACAGGTCAGTCCTTCCTTTGTCTCTTAGAGAGCATGTTGCCAGACCCAGAGTACATCTGGATTGGATGATGTGGACAGGACAGGGTCAAGCCATCCAGGTCATGAGCAGTCATGAGTCTCATGTTTGAGGGATGTGTCTCTTAAATACTGTGTGATAAAAATTGCAGGTGTTCCCAACAAGTGCATTGACAATGTGATTTCATTTCCGCAGCACAATTTGTAACTGGTTTTCCCTCACAAATTCTTCGAGACAATGGTCATTTCACAGAACAGATGTACATATTTCTCATGCCAGAGTATGTAAACATGTTGGAGACATGACTCAAGCTTGATCAGGCCGACAGTCAAGTGTTGGATGTGAAATGTGAAGAGTGAAGAGTGGAAGTGGGCATACAGATGATTGTGATGTGAGTAGGAGCATGAATAAATGCCTTTGTGCTGGAATGTGTATAAGAATTTTGGCCCATCTCTTGTGGTGACCCAACATACCTGCACCAAACCATGCCCACCACATGCTTGCACTCAATTCTGCACCACCTGCACTCCTTGTCTAGGCCTTCCTCCAGCCTTCCATGGAAGTCCAAGGTGGATAACTTAATCCTTAAAGAAGTATTGGATATCACAACATTCTTCAAGAAAGAAGTGAAACAATCATGCTTAGTGAGTCATTGGTTTCCTACTGTCACAGTCGATGGTAGATATTGGGCCAGGAACTCACCAAGTTGAGAAACAAAAAACAAAAGGCAGAAAAGGCCCTCTCTAAGGCACAAGCAATACAAGAAGATCTTGAGGCAACAGTTCAACAGGTCTGTTCCCCTTGTTCATGCATGCCTTCATATTTATTAGTCTACTGATAGATAACTGCAGCTCATGATGCTGCTGCCAGGTGTGAGGTTTGTACAGGTTGTGTCAACAGACTATTTGTGTAAGTGGTGTTATCAATATCATGGCTATCACTTACCAACCATGTTAGTCTTGTTGAATGTGGCCACACATCCTGCTACGGTTGCTTGAGGGACTGGTTCCATACCCACCTCAGAGAGCAACTTGATGCTGAGTGGAGAAACATACCTAAGCACCTGAAATGGCATCCCATTACTGCCAAGACATTAACAGAGCTGTATGATGGAAGATATCTCCAAGTTATGTTGTATGATTGCCCTCTGTGCAAGGGGCCTGTGCAGACGAAACCTATTGAAGTCAACAATTTCAGTGACTTCCTTGCATTAGCAAACAATGTACTCAGGCAACCAAAGGACCATGCCATAGACAATCCCCACCTACTGGATCAGGATATCTGAGGAGATGTACTTCACAATAAGATGTACTACTAGATGGTCAGGTGAGTTACATATAAGGAAGTATATTGGCATTGCAGAGTGAACATACCTTTGCAGGTTCCTACAGTACCTCAGCATGGGTGGCATAGCCTTAAGCCCATGATGCCTCAAATTTATTTGGTATATCAATGCTACTGTATAACATACCTTATGGTTAGCACTTGAATAAATGCTTGATAATGGGGCCTGTTGTGGTGTCAAATGGGATTGTTAGAGACTCAGAGAAGACAGAAACAAGGGGTCAGCAGGGAGAAATGTCAGCTTCGAGCAGATAGTTGTACTTATCAGGAATGAGACCTACAAGCACACACAGTTTTGAACTACATCTATTTTTGATATCCAAGCCTTCCACTGATTTGAACATTGGGAACAAGGTTACTGATACTGATCAATAGCAGGATGGAATCTATACTCATGACATGCATCAGATGTATCCTGGTTTTGATACAATGCAATTGTGACCACTGCAGCCAGGTCTGAGTTTGGAGTGGTGCAAGGAAATTCAGACCAAATCAACAGGAGAGAAGTGCTACTAGAACATGGCCAGCACCACTGGCAGGCACCTGCTACAGTGCCAATCTACTCCATGGTGAGAACCTACTGTAGTCCAACTATGCACTGATAGACCTGGCAATTGTGGTGGCAATGGTGCTTGACTCTGATTACCAGTGGCATCATCCCATAGAAGTGGGAGAGGTGCAAATGTATGTTGTTTAGTATGGAGATGGAGTCCACACTTTGTCCTTGGACAACATTTGTCCACCCAGATGATTGTTCTGCAAGCACGCTTTTTCCAACCCATGAGGGCCTTTCCACTCCACTTCCAGACTCTTGCCAGGTAACCATCTGCTTTCAGTATTCAATGGAATGCTAACCCATCCATGACAAAAAATGTGAACTAGTGTCTTGCTGGAAGCTGCCTTTACTGCTGTCTTCACATCTCTGAACTCACAACCTCATGCCAGACCCATGCACTCCAGATCCTGCAAAGGTCATCTCTGATATGCTTTCTTACCATATGAGACCTTTGTCTCCCAAAGTACATTTTCATATGTGCACCCAATACCTCTTGAGTTTCCATATGAAATTGCACCACCTAACCTGCATGAGGTCATCCAAGACAAGGTTAAATACATCAAGAATAACCATGAACCAAAAAATCCTAGCAGAAGCCTTGTCCATGCCTTTTGACAACCACTTGCATAAATATGTACATCTCCCCAAGTCACAAAACAACCAGAGGGAACTCATGGCATTGTATGACACATGCATCAATGATTGGTGACCATTCATTGACTGTGGCAACACATTTGACACCCTGAAGCCGACTTTCTTGCCCTTCAAGCTGGGCATAGAAGATCACATCTACTGTAACTCAGAGTGACTGCTAAGAGCTCATAGATATCCCTGGTAGTCATATTTCTCTTACATTCCCCAACAGATCAGACCAAGCAGGTGAGAATGGACTTGGTCCTTGGTCTCTGAGGTATAGCAGCCACCAGTTTGGTGTCTGGGCAGGCCAACTCTGATGGATGAGCAATCTCAATCTGTAAGTCTACAAACCACATGTTTCAGTCAGTCCTTATGCCTCTCAGTCACCATGCCTCACCCATCTGACCCCAACACAGCATACAAGGCTCTCAAGGGGGCTGGCTGCATGCCATTCTCCTGAAGTGATGATGGCCTTGCCATCATTCTCTTGCCTATTTCATCTTCAGAAGGTATGCATGTTTTCATTGTTGCATTCTGTGCCAGTGACATTGCAGTCTGGCAACCATGGTATTTTTAGCACCTGGTCTCTTGCTATGGTGTATCTACATGAAATGCTTGCCATCCACAAACCACTTGGGGAAGCATATGTGATGATGAGAGTTGTAGAAATGTTCATGCAGATAGGTAACTTTGAGGCACTTTCATCTCCTTTAGGTGAGATGCTTTTCTTTGGTGGTGGGCAGCAGCATGCCAACTTTGAAGCTCTACACACCCCTCAACCCCAGTCCAGAAACCCTGGAAGTCAATGTCAGTAGGCTTTGGCCACATATATGCTACTGTCTCCCTCCTGTAAGGCTTCTGTCAACACTCTCATCAATGCTGAGCATGCTTGCTCATCTGCCATCCTGACCAGCATATATGGGCCAGCTACAGCTCCCATGACCATGGAGCTTCCTACCATAGGTCCATTGTATATTCTGTCTTTCATATTATACTTTCATCTGCATCTCACTTAGTATTATGGTGCGCATTTGGCCATATTACATAATCATGTTCATTTTTGTACTCAAGTAGCATACTCACACCTCAGTTGGCTACTTAACCCAACTGAGGTGAGCACTTTCTACATCCTGTCTTTACACTCAGCTAATAGTCCTGTAGTATATATTCTACAAGGTCCACTTAAGCATTCCATGCCTTTTCTGAGGTCAAGTGACATTTCCCTCATCATGCACCAGTTATGACTCAGACCCTCTTGCATTCAGATTGATGCTCCACATGCTTGACTTATTACAGCAAGTCATTATCCCATCCTCCCATCCAAATTGTCTTATGGTTTTTGTATCAGCAACACACAGCCATCTGTTAGTCACATTGTACATCCCTTCTAATCACCAAAGTGTTGCCAAGAAAATTGTTGTTGTCCATGATTACAATTGATAGTGGGTTACATTTGAGTCACATGTCTGGCCCTTACTTTTAAGAACTGTTTTCCAAAAGCCATCCCTTCTGCACCTCTCTGTCATGCTTGTACAGGCTGGGCATGCATGCCAATCTGGTATTGGCCCCCACTTGGTCCCTCATTTTCATGCTTTGTCTCCTGTACCTTTTTCTCACACTTTTCTTGATACTGGAACAGGATTTTCCTTTTGCAAGTATGTATGTTCTTCCACCTACCTTCTTCCCCTTCATCCCTTCATCCACAGGAGTACAAGCAAACATGTGTCAGATGAATTGAATGCCACATGATATGGCCTCTGAACCATTGTACACCATCATATGAGATTGAAGGTGGAAGCTGTGCTGTAAGGAGCAATACAAGAAACATATATACCAATGTTGAGGAATTGTGACACAGAAAACAATCTTCTGGCCATCCCTTGATATGGTTGTGTAGCCCCTGACTGACCTAGTCATGCCCTTCTCTGCATATGCCACACAAGAGCCAGTTCCTGAGTCCTAAGTCACTAGGATGTGCTTGGTAGACAACACTAAGGATTTACTTTGTCCACACTGAAAGTGAGATGTATATAATGGTCATACTGTAGAAAGCTTCTCTGAAAGGAACAAATGCAAGTTCACACATGGTAGATCCAGTGGGTGCAACCTGGGAGATGTGGCACATCTCCCTCACTTCATATGCATGAACTGTTTTTGCTGGACTGGACTGGTTGTATGAGTTTGGCAAGCAGATTGTATGGTTGTGAGCTGCATTTTGCCATCTCTGCAAGTGACCCCCAGTCAAAACCCACAAAAACCTCCTTGACATCAATTGAACACCATGTTTGGTGAGAACATGGGAAATTATAAATGTGTGGCATTTGAGCTGATGATGGCATTTGCCATGCAGAGTGGATTTTGATAGACTGCACAGATGTCAAAAAAAAGCATCCATTTTTGGAGTGGAGTGGCCTTGTAAACTTGTAAACAAGGTGATTAAGTAAGCATAACCTCTGATCATGCTAATGTTTCACATGTCTCCTCAAACTTGATTACTACTTATGAGTGACTCAAAATTCTCAACTTACATCCCAAATCAGCAAGTACATGCATCTTGAAGCCAAACTTCCCAGCAGTGCTCAAGGGGTGAGGCTGGGCCTGTGTTCACAAAGAGCTGTGATTTGGTTGTGCCAAATGTTGGTGAGGTTGTCAGTAGGTGTTTTTTGATATAACTTGGATGCTGAGCAATAAATGAGGATTGCAGATGGCTTTCCAGGAGCTACTGGTAGGCTACAGGTAGCCTATAGGTGCAATGGCATCAGCTGTAAACACAGGTATGTCAAAATATGGTACATGCCCACACAGTGGATACTTAGAGGTAGGCTCATACTTAATTCTCAGTCCAGTCATTTGCACATACAGATTCTGATAATCACTGATAATGCTGCTAGGTATGACAATAGTGATCTCATGCACTCAAGTCTGAGGGCTGCACACCATGAAGCTTTGGCAATTATTCACAAATTTTGAGCTGGCATGGTGATCAGTGAGGTCTAGCACTCTGGCCATTCTCTGATGTTGCTTGACTTGCTGCCAATATTGTCCTCACACAACCTGGTCTCTCCACTATTGTCCATACCATCTGAGGTTCCCTTATCATCTTCCAACATATGTGTGGCACTTGTGCTGTGACTATTTGTATTGTCATCTGCTTCACTATTCTTGCAATTGCATTCCACTACAGCTGGTGCTGATCATTGCCCTGCTCAATGATGGTACCATTGCAACCCTCTCTGTTGACTGCATCTTGCCTTGCCCTTGATGATGCCAGATTTCAGAGACTTGAAAGAGGTCTTCTCATATGTGATTACAGATGGTCTTTACTGGACTGCCTCTACATGCATGTTTTCTCTTGATCCTGTGACACTGTGTGTTCACTGTGTCCTCACTCACTCTGCACCAACTCTGCCCATCCTCTGTTAGTTACAAGCCTTCTCTGCTCTGATAGCTGTCAGACTTGTACTGGTCTACTGTCAGACCTGCAGACCATTCTCTATGGGGTCATGTGACCTCCCTTTGGACTTCTCCTCAACAGTGCATAGTCAGGTACTCCACAGCATGCACACCACATGGTCCAGTGCCTGGACTGTTTCCTTTTTGGTTGTTTGTTCTGTGTTACCCATCATATTTTTTCCATCTTCCCTTCATTCATTGTCTAGGAAGTTACCTGTCTGGTAGTTGGTTGGAAGACATTTCAGCACCACAATTGCATGGATCCAAAGAGTAGGAGGTAATCATATATGTGAAACAATGTATGGTGATTAGGTTGTGCATCAAATGTAGGATAGAGTGCCTTTGGCTTTCCAACATAGCTGGAAATATTGGCATGGTATGCAGAAGCTTGCAAAGTACTCATGATCTGAGTGCAGGCAAGATTGATGGCAGAAACAAGATCCATTGTGTGATCAAGAATGGCCTTAAGGTCTGCACCATCATTGGAACAGTCATTACTGGTACCCCAAAGATTGATCAACACTGGGGAAAGATAAACCATAATCAGTGAGGGCCACTCATCTGCCTTAATAGTGCCAACAGACACATCACCAAAATTGCTGGGAACAGAGCCTAACCACAACAGTGTCATGATGTCATGAATAACTTTGTGAACTTGATTCAACACATCTGACTTGGCAAACTTGCTGGGTTGGTGCTGTAACACAGACTAGGGCATCTGCAGCTGCTGAGTACACATTGCATCAGCTGCAGGACACATAGTAAGATCAGGAACAACTTACCCAACCAACAAGCACCTTGGCATAATCAGCTTTGAGAACTTTACCACTCTTCCAGGGAACACACCCTAAGCACTGGCAAACAAATTTCAGAGGGTGAGTATTTTTGTGGATTAGCAACTCCCACAAATTGATCATGAAGGACTTGACAGCTGTGTTGTTGTCATATGATGGGACTGGTGAAACAAGAAGCTCATGAAGTGCTGAGACTTGTGTGATCTCCTTCATTGTCATAGACAGTGCCTCAGGGGTACCAGGGACAACCCACTTAAACTCATAGTGAACTGCAGGAATTATGGAGTGTGCAGTGGACTATCCCCCCCAGAGCACCTGGACTGTGATGAAGAGTTTTAGTCCACCATAGCCCTCAACCCAGCACTCCTGAGGTGGAAACCCACCAGATAAGAGGTGATTGGATTGTTGGTCATGTTTTACAGTGCCAGATTAACCATCATGGCTTTTTCAGCATTCTCAGTACTGATTAGTTGCAGAACATGTCAGGTATGGGTGGGGGAAACAGCACAGGGATGACTGAAACACATAGTGTAGTCACATTTAGTCACAACACATGGGCAGCCTGTGTGCCAAAACACCAATGCTCATATAGACCCTGAGACAGGCCAACCTAAATAGATTCACCAGTACACATGGACAGGCCTGAGGGACTAAAGTGAGAGCAACATATGCACAGGCCTGTAAGTGCATCACCACAGCATATGGGAGGGCCTGCAGTGGGTAAGGATGTTGAAACATTTAGATGGGCCCATGACCAATTAAGTATACTGAGTTGCTGTAAGACATGGATGGGCCCATCCTGGTAGGTTACCCCCCTGTTGCAACATCAAGGCAGGCCCACCTATCATAACATGGAGAGGGCCACAACATAAGGATGGGCCCATCTATGATTAGAATACAAAGTTGGCAACATGTGAATGGGCCTGGGAGTAATATCATTTATGGTGTCACAACATCTAGACAGGCCCATTGTGAGTCAAAGTGAGGTTCAGTGGTGAAAACCAACCAAAACCAACACAAAAGACAATGAAAGCGAGTGGTGGTGTGCCTATGCAGTACCTAGATGGTAGAACCTGTTCTTTGGGAGGGTTTTTGTGAGCTACAACACTCAAAGATGAGTGCTGAGGGTTGGGGGTGCTCCTGACGAAGAGGGAGCAAGAATGTGATAGAAAGCGATAGGGTAGACTGCTGTCAGCCTACAGAAGGATGGATGGTGACTTAATTCGATGTCCTAAGCTGTACCAAGCTCAGGGAGGGCTTGGAGTGAAGTATATGGATGATAGATGATGATAAGTGAAGTAGATGATAGCTAGACCCTTAATAAAGTCTCAACTATTGAAGCTGATGAATGATTTACTGAGAGATGATAAATTGCGAGCAAGAGAGGCTCTCTGATGTCTCTTTTCTTTTTTGCTACCTAAGTACAGTGACTTATATACAGTACAGGGGTGTTGCCTATGGAAAACAAGGTGCAAACACTTGGTAAGTGATTGGTAACTGATGAGTAAGGAATGTAAGCAATGGGTAATCATCTTGGAAAGCATTGGTAAGCATTGGTAAGGATAAGTAAGCCAAAAAGTGAAGAATCAGTAAGCAAAGTCAAAAGATTGGTAAGTATTGGCAATAGGTGAGTCAAAGACGGTCAGAATGTCACAGTATGAGTCAAGCAATGTCAGGAACTGGGAAAGTGCACTGGAATCACATCAGGGGGAGGCCATGCATGTCACATCTCGAAGAGATCACTTCTAGGCCAAAGTGGGATGACAGAGAGGCAGCGCTGATCTGATGCTGATATAGTACATCCAAAAGTGGACAGGGTGAGTCAGATGTCAACAGGGGTCAAGCTTTGGGGGTCTGTGGGGTGACAGGAACATAGGGGATCGCAACTTTCCCCCCCAAACCATCCTCTCAGTGAAGCAAATAAAAACTTCATGAATGAGGCTCTGTTGGAAGAGAGGATGAAGGGGGAGCGTCTTCTGCTGTATCTTGCAACAAGGAGGCAAGATGTGCATCATACTCATCATGGATGCGATCAGGGAGAGTGGAGAACAGTAGATTATACTGTAGCTGTTGCAATTTTGGAAGAATGATGGATGAGACTGGTATGAAGATGTTGCAGGGGACAGGGAGGAAGGATCCATATGCTTCTTGGACTGGAGAGACTGAAACGACCACATAAGACCTTTCCAAGCGAATGACAGACCTGAGGTGACCAAAGAATGTCCTCCTGGAGGTCATACTGACAAAAAGAACATGCTGTCCAAGCTGGATGGGCTGAGAGGGGGCAGATGAGGGTGGGATGTACCAGGATGCTTCAGGACAGAAGCTGGTAGGAACTCCTGGTAGATATATGTAGCCATGGTCCCTAGCAAAGGGGACAAGCAAAATGACTGATGTGGAGGCAGCCATATCAGAAGAATTAGTGAAATGAGCGTCTTTTGGAGGGAGTGCTGTAGAAACGTGTGGAGTGCGCAAATCCTTTCCAATCTTGGAAGGTAGGATCGCGTGGCTGAGCACTACAAGTGAGTGTGGGAATGGTTTCGGTGTCTGCAGAATTGGTGGAGATATGTTGAAAACCGGAATGCTGTACATGGGCGCTTAAGAATTTTATTGGCACTTAACTTGCCTCCTCCTTTTTCTTTGGCATTGACAACTTGTTCTTGTGCAAGGGATGACTGCCGACATTGCCGGCTGTCCTTCTTCGCATGAGGGCTATGGTCTTCACCTCCATTCATCAGCTACATCCATGTCCACCTCACCAAACACCTTTGGTGTGTGACACCGTTCATAATAAGCCATACCCCTGTCACAACATAAAGATGGGCCTGTCAGTAATGTCATTTCATAATGTCACAACACATAAATGGGCCTGTTGACAGTAAGATGTACTGCTGTTGAAACATAAAGACAGGCCTGTCACTAGTATCATTTAATAGAGTCACAACATAAGGTCAGGCCTGTCAGTAGTATTATGCAACATATGGACAGGCCCATCCACAGTAAGATGTACCTCTGATGAGACATAAAGATGGGCCTGTCAGTAATCTCATGTATAGCATCACAACATATGGGTGGGTCCTTCAGTAGTATTATTTATATTGTCACAACATATGGGCAGGCCCAGCCACAGTAAGATGTACCCTGTCAAAACATAAAGACAGGCCTGTCACTAATATCATTTAATAGAGTCGCAACATATGGATGGGCCCTTCAGTAGTATTATTTATATTGTCACAACATATGGGCAGGCCCAGCCCCAGTAAGATGTACCCTGTCAAAACATAAAGACAGGCCTGTCACTAATATCATCTAATAGAGTTGCAACATATGGATGGGCCCTTCAGTAATATTATTTATATTGTCACAACATAGAGACAGGCCTGTCAGTAATCTCATGCATAGCATCACAACATATGGGTGGGCCTGGCCCCAGCAAGATGTACCCTGTCAAAACATAAAGACGGGCCCATCACTAATATCATTTAATAGAGTCACAACATATGGACAGGCCCTTCAGTAATATTATTGATATTGTCACAACATAAAGATGGGCCCATCAGTAATCTCATGCATAGCATCACAACATATGGATGGGCCCTTCAGTAGTATTATTTATATTGTCACAACATATGGGTGGGCCCAGCCCCAGTAGGATGTACCCTGTTGAAACATAAAGATGGGCCCATCACTAATATCATTTAATAGAGTTGCAACATATGGACAGGCCCTTCAGCAATATTATTTAGATTGTCATAACATAAAGATGGGCCTGTCAGTAATCTCATGTATAGCATCACAACATATGGATGGGCTCTTCAGTAGTATTATTTATATTGTCACAACATATGGGCAGGCCCAGCCCCAGTAAGATGTACCCTGTTGAAACATAAAGATGGGCCCATCAGTAATGCTGTTTAATAGTGTCACAACATAAGGACAGGCCCTTCAGTAGTATTGTTTCTATTGTTGCAACATATGGATGGGCCTGTCAGTAATATCATCTAATAGTGTCACAACATAAGGACAGGCCCTTCAGTAGTATCGTGTATATCATCACAACAAATGGATGGGCCCATCTAGCAAGATGCACCCCTGTCACAACATAAGGACAAGTTTGTGTATGGTATTCTTAGGCAGCAGAAAGGGAGATCCAAGCTATCTACATAAGGATGGTCCATGTAAGGCATTCTCAGGCAGCAGACAGGGAGATCAAAGGGATCTACATAAGGATGGGCCCATCCATGGTATTCTCAGGCAGCAGATAAGGGAAAACAAAAACCAGTGTTACAACATAAGACAGGCCGATCCATCCATCTCAGGATTACAAACCCTTGGCACTGCATAAGACAGGCCAATCCATCATATCATAGATAGCTCACCACAAATGGACAGGCCTATCCATAATTGGGTTATCCCCCTGTCACAATATAAGATGGGCCCAGGAAGACAAGAAATGAAGAAAGTGGAACCTCTCACACTATAGAGTATCTGAATTTCCCACTATAAATTGTGTTTCATGTTGGATGATTTGCCTATTTAGTTGGAATCTCAGGTGCTGGTCTATGTAGCTGCAAGCCAGGCTCTGCCATTGGAGCAGATGGGAAATACACAAAACAAACAGCAATGCTATTCCAGAACAACACATCATATTTTTATCTGAGCTTCTGCTTCATATATGCATTCAGGATTATTGACTTGTACTGGTATTGCTGTCATGCCATGGGAATCATTCATAGGCAGGATAAAAAATGTGACATCTGCATATCTCATTGTCCATCTTTAACCTCTGACTCTTCCACTCTCCAATCACTATCACCACTCTCACTGTCAGACTACT